CAAGTCAGGGCTAAAGTAAAATAAGCGTGGTAAATAGCTGAATTGTTTCTACATTTTATTTTTCAAATAACTACTTTTAAAGCACCAACTAGAAACTGTTTAGTCCTTCATAAAATAATCATTTCAGTGCATCTAATTTCAAAATAACTGATTTTCCATAATACGATTTCTACAAGAAGAAAAAAAATAAGACAGACACTTCTGAAAATCAAAAATTGCTTCTCTTCAATCACTTGAACTCACTATCACAAAAATGATTAGTTTAAGTACAGCTTTATCGTTAAATGTTAAATAGCAAAGTTGTGACATAAAAAAAAAAATTCAAACAAAAAAACTGAAAATTCTGTTGGTCATGTGAGAAACAATATTTTATTTTCAGAAAAGGCCTTCATAATTTTGGGTGCACAATTACCTAGATCGACATTCTTCTTCTGTGTCCTCTGAAGGTAACAAATTCCAGGAAAAAAACTTAACTATCTTTGGCATTTTTTTGAATAACCGACTAAAATTACAAATCTGCTGGTTGTTTGGGTTTAAAAGTAAAAAATTTTTAACTATTCGTTTTCTTCAGTGATTTATGACCATCAAAATTTTCATTTTTACACTTATTTTGAGAGAAATTGAACACTTCTGGTACATTCTAATTAGTGATTTATAAATCTGCAGAAAATACTATGCATGATGCAAGATGATTCACACAGAAAGGTGTAGGGGTTAGTAGAGACCAGTTTTTCGCCTTGTGAAATCTGAACATCATATGTGATATTGCACCCCATATGATAAGTATAACAAAATATATATAGTTTATGAAAACATATAATAAAAGTACAAATTATGGTAAGATAAAAAATATCACAAAATATGTCATATAATCTATGATTGCAGTGGGACAAAATACTAGTTTTATGCCTTTTTCAGTTATATCTAAATTTATAAAACCTGAATTTGTGAATTAACAAAATATTTCAAGCAACGATGATTACAACATTTATGTCAATTTCTTAATTTATACCAATTTAAAAAAAGTTGATCCATGCCTACTGTGACACAGTAATAGATATAACATAAAAAAAAAAAAAAAAAAACAGTTAATGTATTTCTTTATAAAAAAGTTAATTTGATAATGACATATATTTGTATCATCGAAATTTAAAGCAATATCTTCATATTTTCTCTTTTTTATCAAATTTGCATTATTTATGAATATTTCGTTAAAGTGTTCAAGTAAAAAAAAATGTTAAGGTAGCTGGGGTGTCTAAATGTCTGATGATACATTTTTTTTATACTTCTATAAAAGACTTCTGGATCAATGTACTTTAAAATTTCAATATAAAAACTGGTGGTCACTTAAAATACATTGAACTTTACGAAATCACTATTATTTTATATAGGGCAAACTTAATTTTTCCATATTGAGGAAACATTAAGCAACAAAATTGGTTAAAATTTGATGAGAGAATTGCTATTCATAAATACTTCGGCTTCCGAAATATCAACTAATAAACTGTTGACAAAGAGATATGTTTGCCTGTCAGCATAAGATTCAGAAGAAAAAAAATCTAATGGACAGCAACATTGTTTATTATTTCAAAGTCACTGGACCATGATCTTGTGGGCAGGGCCTAGAAATGATCTTTTTTATAAGCAACATTATAATAATAACATTTGAATAAACTGTAAAAACAGAGATATGTCTCGCCTATTTGTTATTTTGATAATGCAAATCTTGAAATTAAAATAGCAATACTTTAACATGTAAGTTATGCAAATATTCAAATTCAATGAACCATGACTGAAGGTACAGGGCTAAACAATCTCCACTACCACTGCATACCAAATACCACTGACTTTTCATAAGTCGTTCCCTTTAAACAAACCTAAACACAAACATTAACTTGTAAACTATGTAAAAGTTTCAAAGTCAATAAACCATAATGAGGGGGTGCGGGTATATAATCTCCATGGAAATGAAACTTGCAAATGCCAATACATTTGCATACAAAATATCATTGACTTAACATTAGTGGTTCATCTTAAATGGACCTAATCACAAACTAATACATATGCAAACTAAGCAAAAGTTTTAAAGTCAATAGACCATGACTGAGGGGGCAGGGCCAAATATTCTCCATGGAAATGAGATGTGCTAATGCTTATACAACTGCATAACAATTAACATTGGCCTTCCACTAACGGTCCCCCTTAAACTGACCTAATCCCAAACTAATACATCAAAACTAAGCAAAAGTTTCAAAGTCAATAGACCATGACTGAGGGGGCAGGGCCAAATAATCTCCCTGAAAATGAGATATGCCAATGCTTATACAACTGCATACCAAATATCATTGACCTACCACTAGTGGTTCACCATAAGCAAGACTTAATCACAAACTAATACATTGTTGACGCCGCCGCTGCCGGAAACAGCATACCTATGTCTCGCTTTTTGACTCCGTCAAGGCGAGACAAAAATTGCTAATTAATTCCAAGTTGCTGACCCAACTAGTGGGTAGGGCCTCAAAATGGTTGACAAACTGAGATGTACAGACAGCAATGTAACTTTATAGACGATATTGTCTATTGTAAGTCTATCAAACTAACTTAATAAAAAAACTTAACATTGAAAATTGTTAATTGATTGAAAGTCACTGGACCATGACCTAGGGGACAGGGCCTTGAAATAGTCGTCAAACTGATATGCACTGATAGTAAATGCAACTTTATAGAAAATATCATTGACCTATCGCAAGTAGTTCATATCAAACTAACTTAAGCAGAAAACTTATCATTGAAAATTGCTAATTAATTCAAAGTCACTGGACCATGTCCTAGGGGGCACAGCCTCAAAATAGTTGTCAAACTGATATGCACTGATAGTAATGCGACTTCAAACAAAATATCAATGATCTATCACCAGTAGATCCTATCAAACTAACTTAAGCAGAAATCTTAACATAGAATTGCTTATGAATTCAAAGTCACTGGACCATGACTTAGGGGACAGGACCTCGAAATAGTCATCAAACTGATATGAACTGATAGTAATGCAACTTCATACTAAATATCAATGATCTATCACAAGTAGTTCCTATCAAACTAACTTAAGCAGAAAACTCAACAATTGTTGAAGCCAGAGCTGTTGTCGTGGGAAAGGCAATCTGTATGTCTTGCTTTCCACGTCTTTCAAAAACTTAACATTGAAAATTGCTTAACAATGAAAATAGCTTATTAATTCAAAGTCACTGGATCATGACTTAGGGGGCAGGGCCTCATAATAGTTATCAAACTGATATGTACTGATAGTAATGCAACTTCATAGTAAATATCAATGATCTATCAGAATTAGTTCCCATCAAACTAACTTAAGCAGAAAACTTAACAATTCTTGACGCCGGAGCCGGAATTGCCGGAAAAGCAATCCCTACGATACGCATCGCTGGTGAGACAAAAATAGGGGGTCACAGGCCTTATTTTCTTGAAAAATAAAAAAAACCCAATTTTAAAATTCAATTCAATATAATTATCTGCCCTTGATTTTAAAAGGGTTTTTTTTTCTGAAATTTTAAATACACTTTATACTGACACTTATTTTTTTGATAGTTTAACCTTTATTTCAAGTTTTAGATGTTTCTGTTGTATATTGAATGATACTTGGTAAAATATTTTTAAACCAAAAAATTCGTAAGGGTTCCGCGGAACCCAGTGTCTCGCCTACTTTTGCTGTTAATCACAGGCTCAACAAAAATGAGGAAAAAAATTAATAAAAATATTCCTCTCTATACTATCTTTTGATTGTAAGTAGCTTCTGTCCAAGTTTGGTAAAAATCCAGGATAGTTTATGAATCTAATAAATGTTTTAAAATAAAAACTTAAACTGCAGACTGTTATGTAATGTTAACTGGAAGAAAAACTAAGTCCATTTATAAGTAAAATACGGAAAAAATGGAACAAAATTTTAACAAAATTTCCTTTTAGATACTAGCTTTTAATCATAAACAAGCTTCTGTCCAAGTTTGGTACAAATCCAGGATAGTTTAAGAAAGTTGTTAAAATTTCAAAAACTTTAACCACAGAGTGAATGTAATGTTAACTGGCAGAAAAACTAAGTCCATTTATAAGTAAAATACGAAAAAAATGGATTTTTTTTTTTACAAAATTTACTCCTGGAAACTATCTTATGATCACAAACAAACTTCTTTCCAAGTTTGGTACAAATCCAGGATAGTTTAAGAAAGTTATTAAAATTTCAAAAACTTTAACCACAGAGTGAATGTAATGTTTCCTGGCAGAAAAACTAAGTCCATTTATAAGTAAAATACGGAAAAAATGGAATTTTTTTTTTACAAAATTTACTTTTGAATATTATCTTATGATCATAAACAAGCTTCTGTCCAAGTTTGGTAGAAATCCAGGGTAGTTTAAGAAAGTTATTAAAATTTCAAAAACTTTAACCACAGAGTGAATATTTGTGGACGCCGCCGCCGACGACGACGACGCCGACGGAATGTAGGATCGCTATGTCTCGCTTTTTCGACAAAAGTCGAAGGCTCGACAAAAAGCATTTTTGCAACATGCCTAGAAGGGATGCATTCAGAAAAAGACACCCAATAAATATTGTCTTAAGAAAGCCATTTGCATTCTTTGGAAAAAGGCTTATAACTTATGAATGACTCTTACCACATACAAAAGGCCATTATAAATTATGTGAATGGAGATGATTATTTCATTATTTAAAATAGCCAAGTTGAACAGATGGGTTATCTCCCTTTTTTCAACTGACACACCACCTTCACACCTTCATATCAGCCTACAAACATATTTGATGTGGTATAAATGTATTCATAATCACATTCTTTACAATTAGCCTGTTTAATCACTAATCTACCATGCTGTGTGGATCATGTAAACAATGGTGGTTATTATTGTTTATGTAATCTGTAAGTGATCAGTGATTTACACATATTATCTAAAATATCAGATAAATACATAATGACACTTACCAGCTCCTGGTGGCTTTGGCTGAAAATAAACAATACACACAATTATAATTCATTTTCATTTTGAAAATTAATTTTGTTCCTTACTCAAATGTGTTTTTTTTGGTTATTTTGGGTTTCTTTTTTTTTTTTTGGGGGGGGGGGGGGGGATAATCTTATAAACCAGAACTCTCAAATCATTTTTCATTATCAAATATTTCCTTAAGAAAATGCAACCACCAACCAACTTTGATTTCAAGAGCCTGTGTTATAAAATCATTTCTACATAAAAATTTAGTAAGACATTATACTATCTATTCTGAATTTACATTTAGCAAACATAACTAGCTTCTTGAAAAAGTTTTAAATCAAAAAGAAAAACTTAAGATAAAGAAGGCTACCCAGGCAAATATTTTACTTTCTGAAATGAAAGCAAGGTCGTGTATAATTCAAATTTATGAAATTAAATTCATATATTTAATATTAAGGAGGTAATTCATACTTTAATAAGGAAAAGTTGTAAATTCTTTACAGAATTTTATGAATGACAGTCTAAAATAGTTTTTGAGTCTTAATTTGTGTTCCCTAATGCTTTAAATCTGATTAAAAAACATACAAGTTTCAACAATAATTAAAAAATCACAAAATATTAAACATATTAATAAATAATAATTATTTACTTACATTCATTTGAAGAAGTAAATGTTTTTAGTCTTCAGAAACTCAATATCTCACAGAAATCTACAGGTGTTCTTATAGCAGTGAGATAAAAGGGGTCCCTAACAATAATTTGCAGATCAAATGTTCTAAATAGCATACAATGTATCATAAAGGGGCATAACTGTACACAATTCAGAATAACAGCTTCAACAAATTGCTATAGAATCATTTTTTTTCAAATTAAACAAGAGATTGCATTTCAATCTTTTTCATCATTTCAGTTAGCAATAAATAGATAAGTAAATATTTCTGTACATGGCAAAGGATTATCCTTTTCTGGGCCCCACTGTATATAATTACATATCAATAATTGTGATCTTAATGTAGCATTGTTTTACTGGGAAATGTATGTAGGTTTCATGGGGAAATAATTTTATATACAAGAAATAACTGTAAATCAACCACAATAATTCTAAGGTGACTTTCTTAGAATTGGATTAGAATATTATAAATGATCCTCATAAATTTGTCAAAAAGAATTATTTATTGACAAATTTAAATTTTCTTTTATTCTTTTTGGCTATGAAAAATGAATCTTTAGCTTTTCAGTTTAATTGAAAGACAGTAAGATTTTAGTTTAATTCTTAATAAAATTACTAGGTTCATATAGACAAATAAGCAAATAAGTTGTTAATTTCTGTGTCATTTGGTCTCTTGTGCAGAGTTGTCCCATTGGCAATCATACCACATCTTTTTTATATTATAAACAACAATTGATTGCGGGCAGTGAACAGTAAAATCAGGGACAATACTGGACGAGAATATAGCATTTTTTTAAATTATAGTCTTATGCCATGTCTGTTTTACGTCATCAAATTTTAAAACGTACCAGCCAAATATAATCAAAATACGAACATATAAAGTATAACATACCATACAGTTTGATGCAATATTTCAAAATCAAAATTGATCTTTTTCAATAATTTTAGCTAGCAAACTACACATCGAAATAAAAAGTTTAATTTTGAACAAAATATTGATTATGGACATACGCAAATGTCCCTTACAAATCTTAGTTCCTTAATTATAAAAAAAATTACCTGAATTTTGTCGTGTTTAATTTTTTTTTTTATCTCAGACCCCATATATAAAACCTACCAGCAAGTGGTGATAAAACTAAGAAAAACACAAATTTGGCTTTATTATGTACAACCTACCTTTCTGCCGAAAAATGCAAAATCTAAAACTTGACTGATGTTGTAGAATATTTCATCTAAGTCTCTGTCTCCATCAATCTACAATAAAGATGAATAAATAAAATTTTGATCTATCTCATTACATGTAATAAACAAGAGTGCCCAAGCTGAAATGTCTCGCCTTCTTTACTGACCATTGATTTTATGTTGATAGTCTTAAATATAAAGCTTTACTACAAGTATCACATAAACTTTACATGATCCAAGAAAATGAGGTCAAGGTCAGATAAACCAAACCAGAAATACATGTACACCTTACAATCATTCAATACACCAAATATAGTTGACCTATTGCTTATAGTTTCTAAGAAACAGACTTAAACAGGAATACTAAACATTGCCCAATGAACCATGAAAATGAGGTCATGGTCAGATGATACCTGCCAGACAGACATATACACCTTACAACCATTCCATACAACAAATACAGTTGACCTATTGGTTATAGTTTAAGAAAAACAGACCAAAACACAAAAACTAAACACTGAGCAATGAACCATGAAAATGAGGTCAATGTCAAATAAGACCTGCCAAACTGACATGTACTTTGTAAAATATTTCCATACACCAAATATAGTTGACCTGTTGCATATAGTATTAGAAAAAAAGACCAAAACACAAAAACTTAACTTTAACCACTGAACCATGAAAATGAGGTCAAGGTCAGATGACACCTGCCAGTTGGACATGTTCACCTTACAATCATTCCATCCACCAAATAGGACCTATTGCTTATAGTATCTGATATATGGACTTGACCACGAAAACTTAACCTTGTTCACTGATCCATGAAATGAGGTCTAGGTCAGTTGAAAACTGTCTGACTGGCATGAGGACCTTGCAAGGTACACACATATTAAATATACTTATCCTATTACTCATAATAAGAGAGAAATTAACATTACAAAAAATCTTAACTTTTTTTCAAGTAGTCACTGAACCATGAAAATGAGGTCAAGGATAATGGACATATGACAGATGCAAACTTCATAACATAAGGCATTTATATACAAAGTATGAAGCAGCCAGGTCTTCCAACTTGGAAAATATAAAGCTTTTAAGAAGTTAGCTAACACCACCGCCGCCTCCTCCGCTGGATCACTATCCCTATATCGAGCTTTCTGCGACAAAAGTTGCAGGCTCAACAAAAATCATAATGTGACATATGAACTTTTTCCCAAAACAAAATGATGTTGGCATCATGTTACATGATCTTCTGGATGTTCTGATTTTATGTTTTTGAAAATTGAAAATTTTTCATATTGGATATTTTTAAGGAATAAGGCCACACAAAATTAATTTTGCTTCTTTGAATTTCAGGGAGACTTAAATTTAAAATATTTATTTGATTCTTACAAGACATGATCAAAATATTTTAGGGGTTTGTTCAATTGATATTCAGCAAAATGACAATTTTTACCAGAGAAAAAAATCTTTTAAAATTTCATATCCCAAATAATGGTGCTGGCAAATTCATTCAGAATTAATGGATTGTCACATAATAAGACATGTTTTATGACAATGCAATTATTATAATAAATGTAATACATTTTAGAATTCCCTTCAACAGTTATGTACTAAATAGAGTTTTCAGAAAGTATACTATGCTAGATGGATTGTTCTTAAATTCAGCACTGAAACCTTTCCATCAACTGCCATAAAGAAAAACCGCAATAAAAGCATCGGTTTCTTTAACATATTGATTATTTCTAAGTATTTCTTCAGATTGTTCTCTCATGTATGTTTACCCCTTCTCAATTCTTTTTCAATAATAATGTTGAGTTATCTCCCTTGACTTTATTGAGTTCTCTCCCTTTACTTTATTGCAACTTTTTTACTATAAATACTTACTGCTACAAGTTTTCCTTGGTCGTCTAAATGTTTTAATATGGGTAATGTGTTATTCTTGAAGAATGTGAGCCTACTTTGTATGGCGTTTAAGTTGTCATCAATACGACCACTGGCATTTCCTCGGTCCAGTAACCGTTTCTGCATGTAATATTCTTCACAGTCTAATAATATTGCAAAATTTAATCCACCAATCTAAAAATAGAAGTATTAAATAATATGTGTTACATCATGAGTTTGTATACAATAAAAAAAATAACCTTAATAGATGATTGCAATTGGTGAAGATACATTAAGAATTATATGAAATATTTTGTCAAAACTTCCTTCCAAACCACTCCACACACATTAAGTTATTGATAGTCATAAGCTACAAGTATAAGAAAAAAATTTACAATTGAATCAAGGTTTTTGTTTCAATCAATTGTTCAACTATATGAATTAAAGAATGTTTCAGATTCATTCAGTAGCTTTCTTAAAGACAATAGAGTTATTCCCCTTAAAAACTGCCTACTTACATGTTTATTAAATTCTTCCATTTGTAGTTTATCTCTGGGGTACCCCTCTACAATGAAAGCTGCAGCGTCTTTGTTCTTTTTAATTTGTTCTATCAGGAGTTCGGCTGTTACTTCCTAATACAAGTACAAATCAAACCATTCATTAGACACTAAGACAAAATTATCAGTAAGTTGTTCAAAATTAGTTTTATTGTCCAAGATATTTTATTTAACAAATATCTATAAAGTAGTCAAGTTTTTGTCCTGTTTTCAAAACTACAAGTCATTTGTTATTCTTTCAATTTAGGCACATGTAGGTCAACAAAGTTTTTAAAAGTTTGTTATTGAAAATAGATTTTTAAAAACAACTTTCCCGTGCATTATTTCAGATTTTAAGAAACTTGACTCATTTTTTATACTTATGTTAAAAAAATCTTTCTTAATGAAATTAAATAAAAAAATCTTTATCAAACTTCATTGGTAAACAATTCACAAAATATATTTAATACTTGGAAATATGACTGATCATTGTTTTTTTAATGTCAATTTACAAAATACTTCATACATATTCAGGGCAAAAAAAAAAAAAAAAGACTTGTAAATAAAACGCTAAAATTGATTAAGTTTCTGATATCTACATTAAGTTGAGGTTACCTGTGGAGCCATTTCACCTTTCTGCACTAAAGTACCAATCATACCCCATTTCTCATCAGCTGATCCTTGTGTAGCAATTTGGTTACGTAAAATGTCTCCCATAGAAAGATGGACAACTTCCTTATATCTTTCCAGAACCTTTTTACATTGTGTACCCTTACCACTCCCAGGTCCGCCTTAAATATAAAAATAGTATTTATGATATGGAAAAAACTAATATAAACAAATGTATATAATTAAACAACTGCATCTAACTTATGGGATACAGTATTTGTCACATCTTATTGGATCAAGTTTATAATCATGAAAACCATTGGACTAACAAATGTTATAAATATTTGTTAAATATAATGAGATTATTTACTATTGATGATTGAGAAAATTTGAATCTAAGGATGCAGTAATAGAATCTGTCTCTTTCAGAATTACAGAAGATTGTTGAGTTAATACATACCTGCAGTCCTTATTTATATTTGAAAGCACAATGAGTAAACAATCAAATTTAACTCACACAACTCAATTGACTTTCAACCAACAGAGAGCTAACACATGAACCACAATATAAACTGCCAACAATTATGAAAGATAGGACAGTCAAAATCAGCAGCATATTGGAGTGAAAGTTAATTTGGATTTTTTTATGATCCAACCCCTATAAAAATTTGGAGGAAAATAAAAAGTCATGAACTGTAATACCAATGTATTATTATATACAATGATGACCTAACAAACTCCTCTTTAAGAATTTTTACCCTGTAGGTTATATATCCAGATAAGAAAATAACATTACTAAAAAGGGAAATAATCTACTCAATGAAAAAAAAGGGTTATATACCCTTCTTTATTAATGCATGTACCTGTAGTTAATAGTCATCACAAATAATGGTTAATAAAGGGAGATAACTTACCAACTATTAAAATGATTGGACATGTAGGTAATCCTTCTTTCCTCCCTGTGTCTGGTACATCAATCGTTGGAGGTCGTGTAGCTAATGGAACTATCACATCTTCAGGTTTAACTTTACTGTCGTTTTTGTCTTTACTGTCCTTTTGTTTAGGTGTAGAAGGCCTTCGTTCTCGTTTCTTCTGTGGGGGTGGGGCAGTCAATGGTTTAGCATTCTTCAGTTCTACAATAAAAGTTATCAATGTATTGAAGTATCTAAAAAAAGTTGAAGTTCATTTCATTTGTAAATCAACACTCAGGCTTTAAATTTTATTTTAAGTGTTTTAACCAACCTTCAATTAAATTTATGAAGTTCAAAATTATAATTTCTGCTTGCTAACTTTTTATTTTTCTTTTATAAAAAATTCTTAAGGGTTCCGCGGAACCCAGTGTCTCGCCTACTTTTGCTGTTAATCGCAGGCTCAACAAAAATGAGGAAAAAAATTAATAAAAATATTCCTTTCTATACTATCTTTTGATTGTAAGTAGCTTCTGTCCAAGTTTGGTAAAAATCCAGGATAGTTTATGAATCTAATAAATGTTTTAAAAACTTAAACTGCAGACTGTATGTAATTTTAACTGGAAGAAAAACTAAGTCCATTTATAAGTAAAATACGGAAAAAATGGAACAAAATTTTAACAAAATTTCCTTCTAGATACTAGCTTTTAATCATAAACAAGCTTCTGTCCAAGTTTGGTACAAATCCAAGATAGTTTAAGAAAGTTGTTAAAATTTTAAAAACTTTAACCACAGAGTGAATGTAATGTTAACTGGCAGAAAAACTAAGTCCATTTATAAGTAAAATACTGAAAAAATGATTTTTTTTTTTTACAAAATTTACTTCTGGATACTATCTTATGATCATAAACAAGCTTCTTTCCAAGTTTGGTAGAAATCCAGGATATTTAAGAAAGTTATTAAAATTTTAAAAACTTTAACCACAGAGTGAATGTAATGTTAAGTGGCAGAAAAACTAAGTAAAATACGGAAAAAACGGAATTTTTTTTTACAAAATTTACTTTTGGATATTATCTTATGATCATAAACAAGCCTCTGTCCAAGTTTGGTAGAAATCCAGGATAGTTTAAGAAAGTTATTAAAATTTCAAAAACTTGAACCACAGAGTGAATATTTGTGGACGCCGACGGAATGTAGGATCGCTATGTCTCGCTTTTTCGACAAAAGTCGAAGGCTCAACAAAAAACTGTTTCTAAATATGAAACTGTGAATGTTATACAAGGGGTAGGTTTGGTTAAACTAAGGCTTGGTTTAAACCAGTTGCGTAAAACCTACCACTAGTATTACATATTTTTGTTTTTGTTTTCTTTTTATACTTTCTTGATACTGTTATCCCTGTTAAATAGTTTAAAGTCTGTCTATCGGGGGGGGGGGGGGGTAAAAATAGTACTTATCAAAATGGTTCTAAATGAGTAACTACAAAATATGAATCCTATCTTCAATGCTTCCAGAAAATTGTATTAGGTGTATCAGAATTAAAACCATAGTATTTGTGACATGTTTTGAAATACTTACCAAAATTGTTCTTTTTAAGGAATTTGAACAAATTTCCTACTTCAAATGCAATCTCTTTTGTGTCTCTGTCACCATCTACCTATTAAAAAGCAATACAATATATAAATACATACATATATGTATCATTGTTATTTTGCTTAGTTTCTTTTGTTACCTATTCTGACATTGGACTCATACTTCTTTTAAACTGAGTTTTACTGTGCGTTTTGCTATGTGTTTCTTTATTCTACATTGGCTAGAGGTATAGGGGGAGGGTTGAGATCTCACAAAACATGTTTAACCCCGCCGCATTTTTGCACCTGTCCCAAGTCAGGAGCCTCTGGCCTTTGTTAGTCTAGTATGTTTTTAAATTTTAGTTCATTTTTATGTTTTGGAGTTTAGGGTGACGTCCATTTTCACTGAACTAGTACACAATTTTTTTTAGGAGCCAGCTGAGGACCACCTCTGGGTGCGGGATTTACCCGCTGCATTGAAGACCCATTAGTGGCCTTCGGCTGTTGTGTGCTCTTTCGTCGGGTTGTTGTCTCTTTGACATATCCCCCATTTCCATTCTCAATTTTATATAGAATTATTCTGATTTCATTCACAAAATTATATTTCCACAGCACTTATTCATTCGTTGAAATATTTTTTTTTATAGTTATAACCGTATTTGACTTAGTTGAACATTTACTTGGTTTCAAGTGCTGCTTTTAAGATTTTACTTTTTTCAAGCTAACTTTGTGGCAATTTATATTTTTCAAATGTAACTTTGTAGACTTATTCATATTCATATAAGAAAAGCTCCAGGTTTGACATATTTGCTACTATTTATATTCAGGTTTTTTTACTTGTGAAAGTGGTTTCAATATTGTACACAAAAGCAAGTTGGTTAACAGCCAATTATTCGGTTGCAATGATAATTTTATTAAATTTAATTTTCCCATTTTAATTTTGTTAGATCTTAAAAACTTTTTTCAAATTCCAAAGTTTTGCTTACAATGAGTAACAAGATTTTTGCCACTAATGGAGTAGGAACTGTCTTCCCCTATGGAGCCCCTGAGTTTACCCTAGTTTTGTATTGGGTTTGTAATGCCTAATCTTTGGGTTTGACTGTGCAGTATTTTGTGGACTGTTGCTTGTCTTTTCCATTTTTTTTCTTTTTGGCAGTTATCTGTTTTCATTGGACTAATGGTTATGATATTGCCCCCTTTGTATCAAAGTCCTCTTTCTGTATCAAAATAACTAATATCCAATGTAAAGAAAGAAATACAAAAAAACACCTCATGATTTCTACTAAAATATAAATTTCCATTGGGCTCAACGGGTGTTGGTTTCAAAGAATCCATTAGGGGAGACTATTTTCAACCCCATATACAAAATGTGAATTAATATTGCAGAAATGAAAAACTTTAACAGTATTTCTTACCACAAACACTCTACCCAAGTCATCATAGTATTTCACCACTGGTAATGTATTATCTTTGAAAAATGTTATCCTCTTTGAGATGGCCCCCAAGTTATCATCAATCCTGTCTGTCTTTTGTCCTCTGTGCAGAAGTCTTTGTGTGCAATAATATTCTTCACAATCCAAATAGAAAACAGCATTCACCTTGCCAATCTGAAAATTAAAAATATGACTTTGTATTCATATATACATTGTCATATGTAAAATCATAGATGTTTATACATCTATGGTAAAATTAAGCATCGTTCACTAAATGTAATCCAATACTGTGAAAGCATCCCTTTAATGGTATTTTACTTTGTGTTCAATAAATTAAGATTTAATGCTCCTTGACTCATTAGGCTTTATAGAAATAAGTATATGTGGTATAAATTGTTGCCAATGAGACAACTTTCCTTCAGAGACCAAATGATGTAGTACTATAGTATACGGGTTTCTAATAAAACTGTTTGGTTCATTGAATGTATGAGATGTTGCTTGGTTTTAAAACAGAATATACAACTTCAGTTCTATAGTTGAATATTTACATACCACTTTCATATACTCTTGAACTTGTTCCATATCTCTTGGGTACCCTTCTAGTATGAATCCCTTGGCATTCTTGTGTCGTTTGAATGAATCCATAAGTAGTTCTCCTGTAACTTCCTGTCAAAATAAAGAATATAGGATCCATCAAATTATGTTTAAACTTTATATTTCAGGTAAAAGATAAACCAATTCAGCTGGTTTGTTGGAATTATTCAAATTAAACTACCGGTAGGTTTGAAAATACCATTGAAGGTTTATTATTAAATCATAGATCAGCATGTGTGTTAGTATGATAACAATGATTAATCAGTGTTTACCATCAAGTGGCAAATATTACATGCATATCAGGACCAGGCTATGTAATGTCATATGTATATGAATATAAAAAAGAGGATGTGGTATGATTGCCAATGAGACAACTCTTCACAAGAGAGCAAATGAAACATGAAGCCTACTTTGTACTAGACAGACAAACAAAGCTAAATTTTTTATGGTCTATTTCCCAAAGAAACAGCTCTCAGGAAGATATGTCACGCTTCCTGGACGCATTATTTTGACTTTGCACCAACCAGTCTTTGCTCTTACTCTGGTGCTTAGAAAAGAACAGCAAATACCAGTTCTAATTTGTTTAGTTTGTCCAGGCTGTGGATAAAACCCATGGCCTCTCACACCCAAGGCAACCAAGCAAACAAGAGACCACTACCACCCACGAGGGTTTTGTATGGTTGAATGTTTTGCCATTCATTTTAAAGGTAAGATTAAATTAATTTCCTTTCTGTTATTGTATGACAGATCTTCTATCACAGACAGAAGAAACTCTCTTAATCCTATTGTGAGAAATTATTGCATGCATTTATTATTGTGATGCAATGGAAATTTAAAAAGCCGTTTCATTTAAAAACATAGCAAAAATTTCTGAATTTACAGTACAAATGTATGCTGGTATTTAATTGGATAATGAACTTTAAATGGTATATTTATACTGTTTATAACACCACATGTTTAATAAACTGCAGTTTATTTTTGCTATTAAAGAGAGCACTGACTTAATTGGTATTTAATTCAAAAATTCTCCCAAAATGCATTCATTAATCTAGTACAAGATATTAGGAAATTCTTAAGACAGCATAAGCTGTTGATGCTTCCTTACAATTTTCCAATTAATGAACTCCATATAAAAATAAGAAGATGTGGTATGATTGCAGGAACCAAATAATGTAGAAGTTAACAGCTATAGGTCAGTGCACTCCAGCAATTTTATTGATGTAAAATCTCACCTCTGGTGCCATTTCTCCTTTCGATACTAGATCTCCAATCATACTCCATTTATCCTCAGCTTTGCCTTTCTGTGCGATCTCATTCCGTAAGATATCTCCCATAGACAAATGAACCCATCCTTCAGCTAATTTCAGTAAGCTGTTTACTTGTGTGAGTTTTCCTGAACCAGGACCTCCTATATAATAAATAAATTAAAAAATGTTATAGAATCTTTTTCAAGAAATTTCATTAAATTTTACGGTTACTCATAATAATAAATAATGATAAATATCACATAATTTTGTTTTGCTATGTCCTTGACATTGTAAGACTCACCCATGATAAATACAATGGGAACATCAGGAATGTCCTTGTCCACAGTTTTAGCCTTTGTGTCTGATGTGACTTTGTCATTTATTTTTGCAGAATCAACTGGATCTGTAATAGGGGGCAGTGGTGTTCCTCTCTTCTCTTCCAATGGAACAGGTGATTCTGAAATTCAAAACATTAAACTAGTATTTTTTCATTCATTAATTGTGTTTTTTGTGTTTAATATAAATAAGAAGATGTGGTATGAGTGCCAATGAGTCAACTCTCCATCCAGGTCACAATGTATAAAAAATAAACAATTAACTCTGTTTTTATTAAAATGCATGCTCTATTAAAGAAATATAATACCATTGGCTTATAAACAGGGTTTTTCTGTGTATTTATCTGTTTTATGATGTATTGTTGTGCTACTGAAATCTTTATTTACTGTAAATAAATGTGTGTTAACTCCTAGTGTTTTCATATATTATAAAGTTCAAAATAGAAACACAATTTTCAAATATTGAAAATATTTTTTTTTCCTGTTTACTACCACCGTCACACCATACAAATTTTATGTTTAAAAGACAGAAAAATAGGTGATTGATTTTTAGGTGAGATTCATTTTTCAATCCAGAAAAAAAAACACATAAAATTGAAACTTATCATCATTTATGAACAATCTGTATTTTGATAAAATTTCTCTTTTTGGTGTTGCAAAATTATTATCTCATTAAAAATGGATCAAAACCAGCATAGAGTATTTTTTTGCAACTTTTTTTTAAATTAAAATATTATTAAAGAAAATTGTCACAACACACAGACAAATATTAAGGATGAAAACTGAATTGACATGGCTTTTTGTGGTGATTATTTTTTTTTTTATTAAAATTTGAACATAGTTATACATTCATAGAGAGAGAGAAGTATATACATATATGTAAAATATATATATAAAAGAAGATAGTATTGTGAAAAGATATAGAAATTAATCTAATTAAATGTATGTACAATGTGTGCAATAGTGAGTAAATGTAAATGCAATCATGTGCATATGTGCTTTTAAGTAAATATACTTAATATGCTCTGAATAAGTTTTAAGTCTGTGTATAACCAAATTATTAAGTAAATATTGAATCTGGCCTATGAAAATACAATAAATGGGAGATAACTCATTTGGTGTTTGCAAAGACATTGAATATCCTATATTTATACTGGATTGTCATTGGAAGCCTAAAATCACAATTTCAACATTTCTGACAATTTGTAATAATAAAAGATTCATGAGCCTTTATCAGAGGGTAACATGGTCTGAATTATTTCACACTTATCATTATTATAAATGAAATTCCTTAATTCGTGTGTTTTCTTATAGTATATGTAAATGTAATTCCTATTAATGTCTAATATATAATAAATATTTTAGAAAGCTTTACTGATCGACAAATCACTTGAGTAGAATTATAAAGTAAAGTTGTATTTTAAGTTATATATAGAAATATATTGTGAAAGCAGAAATTTTTGTTGTGGTTTTAATTTTCTGTTTCATGGATAGATATAATTTATGATCTATGAAATTTAAACCCTAATGAAATTTCCACCTACATGTACAAAGAATATCGCTTTCACATACTAAAAGCCATGAAATGTAATCCCTTACCAATTATTTAATAAATAAAAATCATAAATTGCTTACTTTAATTTTCAGGGCATTCACTGTAATAAAGTATGATTTACGATATTTTATGGCCACATGTGATAAGTAAATGTTTCTTACTGGTTTACATTTATAATTGTATCATATTATATATATATGTAATGACAGGAAGAAAACAGAAGTACATATATAAGATGAAGCTTAAGAAATAACTTTGAAGCAATTGTGCAATGTTTTACCCTGAATCCTTTTACTATCAACTGGGGTAACAGACCCTTTCCTATCTATAGGTGTTAAAGACCTTTGTCTTTCAACTGGGGTTACAGACCCTTTTCTATCAATTGGTGTGATAGACCTTTGTCTGTCCACTGGTGTGCTACTTCTCTCAGAGTCTGGAAATCAATTTATGGAGATTGATATGAAGTGATTGAAAAATATGCATAGATATACCAAGTAACCCTCTTGATTACGATACATTTATCCACTAGTGATGGTTAAATTTTCAACATCTAAAATTTGGGGTTAACCTAGCATTTTAAATTTCAACGGAGAGTGGCTAATTATTGTAAATACAGGGTAAAGAGACAGAATCTGTTTCTCTAATAATATAATGAAAAATGCTTACAGCCATGTTCTAAATGGAAATGGTTGGAAGTTACACAAGAGAACTTTTTGAAAATTTTATCAAATCTGTAAATTAAGACAAACATGCACTTACAACTTAAACATTAATATGTTGTTTATTAAAGCAAGATGTTTGTGAAGTGTTAGTCTCTTGATACTTTGCCTGTTTGGTAAAATTTATTTTTTTATGAAAACCATTGTTTGAAACAAATTAAATGGTATGATCTATTAAATGTGAAAGAGTAAAATTAACTGCTGAAGTCACATCACAGCCCATGACAGCATATTACATCCATTAGTAAACATGATGTGAATCAAAAAAGGCTAATAAGCCTCTTCAATTTGTTATATCATAAATGGGAGACAACTCTCACTCATTGATTAGGGAAGATAACTCCATACCATGTACCTATTACAGACTTGCCAGATCTTTCGACCCAAAAGTATTCTTGACCTGACAAACAAAATTGACTTGTAATAAAACTATAGCATGAAGTTAATTCCATTACTCTAAATAATAAAATCCCAATCAAAATCAAAAAGACCATTGCCATTCTTATTAAAATCTCTTATGAGCAACTAGAATCTTATTTCTAAAGTGTAAATTATATAATTACATTAAATATTACATTGTTAATTACACTTAAAACAAAGTGAAAAAACATGTGTTATAGATATTTAAAATTGACAGTAAAATCTTTTCATTACAATCTAATTAGAATCTCAGTACATGTATAACTAGATATTGAATATCCTATTACCTATTTTTGCTGGTGTTTTTGACCTGGATTTTGGACGTTTTCCATTATCTGGAGTTATAGGGGGCAGTGGAGTCTTTGCTCTCTTTGCTTCCACAAATGAATTCCATGCCAAGTTTTCTTGACCTTTGTCCTTGACCTTAGCTAGACAGTCTATCAGATAAGCGATGTGATCTGTTGGTCTGTGGTACATCAGACCAGTCATCAAACTCTGTAAATAAAATTTAATGAAATTAAAAAAAAATGTTTTTTCAAACCATTAAGTAATTCCTATGCATGGGCATGGCCCGGCAGTACCATGCAAATGTAACAAATTGAACTTTAGTACTAAAGGTTTGATGTTAATCTGGCTACTGTTTCTAGTACACCCTCCATTTTTATCTTGAAATCATGTGTACATTGTATGGCAGGTCTGAAAGCAAATGTGACAGCTACAGTCTGCATGTATCTTCAATGCTACTATTGTTCTGTTACAGCTACAGTAAAGGTATTGTTTCACTGAGCATATTCAAATATACATGTCTGTTTATGTACATGAAATTTACCATTATCTTATCCATTGTACCACAACTAGATGTACATGTATATGATACTCTGCAAATATGTTCCGTTGTACTGAAGATATCAGACACAAATGGAGATATGAGCCTGAATGGAATATTCTTTGGTTGGTTTTTTTTAATCTCCTAAACACGAAATTCAACATTAAGGGATTTATACAATTATTTTGGAGTGGGCCTTTTAACATGTCTAATGCTATTTCAGGATTTTTTAATGCCATTTTTTTTAAAATCAGGTCAATCTGGTATTAAAAAAAAACATTTTTTTGGCGAACTATGGTTGATTTTAAACTGGTTCTCAATGAGAATGGGTCCTAATACCAAACCCTAAGGATTGCTAGAAATATCCATGGCTACTGAATTGTAAAAATGTATGACCAGTGGCTGATATGAATCAAAATCATTTTTTTATGGTGGCTATACTGACCAGCAAAGTATATAAAAGAGGAAGAAGACAACAAAAAGACAATAAAAAATCATATGGCTCAGAAAAACAGACATTACTAAGACCAAATTCAAAACAATGTCTTCAAAACACTTCATATTAAATTGATAAACAGCTAGGACTGGGGTACCTCATCGAAAACCCTAGCCCCAAGAAGGGTAGGCAGATCATGCTCCAGTTGCTCTAGCATTCAATATGTTGCTCATGGTGAAATAAGAACCAATTACAATATCACAACAGAAGCAAGATTTATTGGAATGAAACTGTGCAGTATAGACAAATTAAGTGTAAAACAATGATTATCAGCTACTAAAATGAACTCAAATGGAAGAAACGTTGATGCAGGTCTGTATATACGAAGGCCCTGAAAATCTTTAACAACAGGTCAGCAATACTACATGGGCATCGGCCATATGATGTCATAATGGGAGAACATACAAAAAAATAAAAATTAAATACATAGTAACAGTAAACTACTGTTCTTAAATATGTATAAATGTACATGTATATCGAAATAATTTATGGGACTGTAAAATTGAATATAAGCAGAAAATGTCAGCACTTGACGAGTCACATAACATCAAAGCAGACAAATAAAACAAACAAAAATGTACGGGAACTCATACGGTTTCTCATATCATCATATCATATGATCAAATGTATAGCAGGTTTATTTTTATACGTGTTTCAGCTTTATACAAATTAGTGTCATCTGACTGTTTCTTTTGGCATTGGTAAACTACTGTCAAACGTATAACAATAAACATAATTTTAAAGTTTTAAAATAACATCTGTAAAGCTGCAGATGTCAACTGGAAATTGAATGAAACTCGAAAGATGTTTCTCACCTCAAACAAGCGAGGAATCTCTCGCTTTGACAAGTAGGTTTTTGCATCCTCCGTACTCATCTTTCCGCTACGGACGCGGATGTAGGATTCCTTTTTTCGTGGTATCTTGACGGTTATGTAGAACGATTAGTGAATATTTTGGGAAACCGCGTTTTGCATTCACTCAGAACATCAAGCACCTGTATCCAAGGACAACAAATAGGTTGCGTAAAGTCTTCCGGCTTGCTGTAAGAAAAGTAGTTCTTGTTTATTCCCTAATTACTAATGTAATACGTCTTCAACAATTAATTTGTAATTAAATGTTATTTGAAAATTTTATTGCACTGATATGATAGGATTAAAAGGCCTTTTCGACACAAAAAGTTTAATTAACAATATGAAAATAATGCGGATTGATATATCCAAATATTAATGATAATAACCAAAAACAGTTGGAATTAATAATAAACATGAAAGAACCCTAGTCTTAGCAGACTTAAAATACATTTATCATATGTCACTGGTCTAATATACTGTATATCAATTATTCAAAAACTTTCTAATATGAAAAGACTTCATGTTTCAAACACAGAGGTTTTGGGGACGAAAAATTTAAAACAGTTTTATTATCTAAGTTTCACTCTCAGCTGCACCTTGTAGATTTGTTTTCTTTAGAGAAAGAAAGAATGCAAGGTCAAAAAGTAAATTACAATGTTATTATTTTTGTTCCTGTAAATATTTTTATTTAACGGAATTTTGATACGTGTCGGTTACTTGAATCTTTTGACTTTCCAAAACAGTAAAAAAAACTATCAAGTCAAATCAACCGGAGACATTATATAATAGGTCTCTGTTTTAACTTAAAGTTTTTAACTTTATTATAAGACCGAACAATTCGATGAATTTCTTTTTTTTTCGAATGTAAATACTGTAGGTGTGAACTTAAGTGATTTTATTCTGCGGGATGTTTGGAATTATTTCCCTCTAAAATGCTGCAAGTAAATAATGGCTGCAATTAATCAAATTAAAACATAGATCTCTGATATATGCTCACAAAAAAGAGGTACGCTTGATCTGAATTTAAATCAGATTGTCATGAGCGAAAAAATGTAAAAAAAAAAATATTCAGCCCAACTTCCACGACGGTCCTGCAACGATACATTCTTTTTTATTCAAGTTAAGATGATTTAATTAATCACTCTTTTTTTTAAGCTTGTTCTTTGATATCAATAGTCTTGAATGTTAAAAGATCGTTTCACACCTTGATATTTTCCCTTCTTATAATCCTTTAAAGGAAAACGTTCTTAAATATCGCACAAACACAAAGTTTGATTTTTGAGATTGTGTGGTTTTTTTTCAGTTCTACGTTTGTTTATGTAACTTTAAGGAACTTGTGTCTTTTCGGTTTTTTTTTTGTTGTTGTTTTTTTGGTGTTTTTTTTATTGTTATTTGTTTTGCTTGCATGTTGTTTGTTTAGAATTTTTTTTAACTTTAACTTGTTTGTTGATTTGTTTATGTCGGATTGTTTTTTTTATTTTGAGCGGATTCTTTTGATTAAAACCAAGAGGGTATATTTTTCTTGTAATCAATTTAATCTTCGAACCTTGATATTGTGTTGATGCCATGCACATATAAAAATAAGAAGATGTGGTATATATGATTGCCAATGAGACAACTCTCCACCAGAGACCAAATAACATAGAAGTTAACAGCTATAGTTCACCGTACGGCCTTCATATATGTATATTATCATCAAGTTAGCGCTTTAATATGTATCGTTAAAATCATTTTTGAGTTATTAGAGATATAAACTGTCAATTGCGTCTTATTAGAATAATACAGTATATTAATATTCTGATGATCTGTATTCACACAAATCGTATGCCTATAGTTAAAAAGAAGATAATATGACAATTATTTATCACAAATAACTCGGCGCGATTAAGCAAATAATAAATCAATCGGTTCAAGTGAGATGGCATGTCTCCTCTCGCATTTGCTTTTAGATGTGAAGAAAAGTCGGTAATGAAATGTATAGAAACCCAACAACACAAAAAGAGAAATCTATAGAGTTTACAAGGTCAATATTATTTATGATACATTTGTAGCTGAGACCTTTTGAATTCATGCAATAGATAAATTTTTAGAATTATGTAAAATTTCGGATTTTTTTTTTACTATGGAAAAGATGTAGTTCCTAGTAAGATATACATCTATGATTCGTTTTGAAAAAACTTTTGATTTGCAGTTTCAAAAATAAGTTAATCTTTTATTTAGCTGCACACTCAGGATGTAAACAACTAAAAAAAAATTATTGACATATGTAGATATAAGAAGATGTGGTACGAGTGCCAATGAGATAACCGTTCTCCATCCATGTCAAAATTTATAAAAGTAAACCATTATAGGTCAAAGTACGGTCTTCAACACGGAGCCTTGACTCACACCGAACAGCAAGCTATAAAGGGCCCCAAAAATTACTAGTGTAAAACCATTCAAACGGGAAAACCAACGGTCTAATCTATATAAAAAACGAGAAACTACTGAACATCAGATTCCTGACTTAGGACAGGTGCAAACAATTGCAGCGGGTTTAAGGGCATACGATACAGTAGCAAGGGCAGATAATAACGTTTTCAAAACTTTTCGTGTTGTTTTCGCGATATTGTTAATCAGAACGTTGTAATTTGGCGATGTTTCTTAAAATAATGATTACATTTTGCGACGTCGCTTTAGATGTAGTCACATTTGCGGAAAAATCCACTGACGTCATAATCCGATTGCGCGAATTTGAAGTACCTGCTAAAAATATTGATCATTGTAAGAATAAGAAAATTTAATCAAAACTTTACCAATTATTGCCATTTATTGCCATTTGTATGTTTGAATGATTGAATTGTGTATATACTAGTAATATATATTGTATTTTAATGTATGAATCGAATGTATGAATGTTAACTGTATACATGTATTTTGTTTGAGGGCCTCAATGAAAGTTAGACTACTTCTAATTGAGTTACCCTCTTTAAATAAAGAATTTATTATTATATTATTATTATATCATATCACGAAAATTGTAATATTTATTCATTAGTAATGAAGTCAACAGTATTTACTTGAAATGTGAAAAAAAAATCAAATCCACAGTCATAGTTTTGTATGTGTTTTATTTCATATAGGAAATGAATAAAAGATATGTAAATAAAATAATACGTCGAGGAGACAGAAACCCAAATGCACAAAAAGCCCAATAAATAATTCAACGTACTGTCTTGACCATAATATAGTATCTATATATACACCATTTGGCAAGCTCTAAATCGTATGACAATTGTACGGACAATTAAACAGACTATAAAAAAAATGTTAAAATAACATAAGAAATAAAGACAACGCCTCATACTGTTCCTGACTTTGAATAGGTACATTAAAAAGTTTAACGGCAGTTTTAGAACTAACCCAGAAGAATATTTATATGTGTATGAAGAAAAACTCTCAGTTAAGTAAACACCGTTATGAGCCCCGTACGTATTACAAACCAAAACAAAACGCACCCGTTCATGCGCTAAGCTTATCCCCTATGTACATATTGAGAGAAAACAATCGAAGTATCGGCACACCAGAATAAGGTATCTGACAGACAAGAAAAGTGTTTACAAGTTGCAACTCACTGTCGTTAAACTACTGACCAAATACGAAGTCTTTCCGTAAAGTAGTTTATCAGAAACAAAAATTTGTTGGACCACCGGACGTACGGAAAAACAATGGTGTTGCACCCAGTCCTAGATAGGAGATATAATACTGACAAATATGAACCATAATAAGAAATACCCTGCCTGAATACAAGCTAAGGTAACCTATCTATTGATACAGAATCATGCAATGGTATGCTCTAATATCGACTGCTGTACTTCCTATGAAATGTTATACTACACCGCAATGGACTATATATATTGAGACAATTACGAAACAAATGGATTTTTTGTGTGTCGAAGGCCGTACGGTGACCTTTAATTGTGTTTATCTTCGTCATTTGAACTATGATTGATAAAGTTGTCTCATACCAAATGTCCTTATTTTTATATTATCCCATTTACTTTTTTTTGTAATTTATAATTGTTTGTCGTGTCGGGGCCTTTTGAATAATTAAAAACTATGACCAAGCTGTGTTGTCTACATGAAATGTAGGACTAATTTCGGACAGAGATGCAAATTTTTTTTTTTTATTAGATTTTTTTTTTTTATTTCCGGTCATTTCTTTTCAAAAAGTAATCTACTAAAATACTTTTTCTATCCAAGTTTCGTAACAATTCATAAAGGTTTGGCAAATAGTTTATGGTACTCTACGAGTAACTATCTTTATAAATATTAATGATAAATATCATTGATTTCGAAAAAAAAACCTTGGCTATACCACTGAACTTGACAGCGTAGTCGTGAACGACGGGAAAGATTGCACGACGTTGTTGCGATTAAAACTTATTTCAACGTAATTTAGCGCCTTATTGGCAAACGTCCCGTTTGCCATTAAAAATCATAGTTTATTGCTTTTATTGAAAAAACAAGCACATGGACCCCCATTTTTTTCTTTTGCAATCAATCAAGGAATGTTTCAGGAACGCTCCGCCAAAATTCTAAGAAAAAATCAACGATCAAATTTTTTCTGCACTTCTGAATAGACGCAAAAATGTTGTCAATTTCTTTTTTTCACTAATAGTAATATAATTTAAAAAAACAAAAATTAAGTTAAACCTTAAACTTGTTACAGCATTTTGATGCCGTGGTTCAAAGGAACATTTTACAAAAAACCCGGTTAAATTATGACTGTTCGTTCAAAAGTATTGTTACTTTCCTTAAAAGTCCTTATTTATGCAATTTCAGTGTTTTTCTTCAAATATGCAAATTTCGAACTAAATTATCTCAAAAAGTAAGTCATGAAGGTATATTTTTCTTTGCAAATTTCAAAAGTACACATTAAAATTGAACTTCTACCAAAATTTCAAGAAAAAATCAACGAGGGATCTCTACTGTATCGTATGCCCTTAAACGTTTCAATGGTACCAAACCTTCACCCTTATCTGAAACAATAGTGTAACATCACAACATAGAAAGACACACTATAAAATATCAATTGAAATGGCTTAACTCAATCAAAAGACATATTAACACCAGTGAACATACACTGAACAAATACATTCCATCTATGATACAATGCAAAATACAAAATAAATAAACTAAGGGAAGAATAATTAAAGTAACATGTTATACCGCTGTGAAATGTTAAACAATTTAAGAAAAACAATATGCTTGAACAAAAATATCAGCCATTTGCAATTACTTTAAATACAGGTTAGTGAAAATAATTTTGTTGTTAGGTATACGTGTACAGTTCAAATGGAGAAAGGAAATATTTTTACAAAATATATAATTTTGATGTTCATAGTACGAAGAAGTGAAAATTTATAGTAATACCAAACACTTATCAACGCTGGTATATAGACCAGATATAACCCTGAATAACATTAAATAACAAAAAGCATTACAATTAGTATCAACAGGTCAAATAAACAAGAATGTACGATTTGAGAGTACTCGCAGTTACTGACAGCTAGTTAAAAGCCAAAAACAATTAATAATAAAAAATCATGCATCAGAGACTAACACATTAACATTATTATCACATATGTCAAAATATATAAGAAACGGAGAGGAAAATAAACTTGTTTAACCACGTCGCATTTTTGCGCCTGTCCCAAGTCAGGAGCCTCTGGCCTTTGTTAGTCTTGTATCATTTATAATTTTAGTTTCCTGTGTATAATTTGGAGTTTAGTATGACGTCCATTATCACTGAACTAGTATACATATTTGTTTAGGGGCAGCTGAAGGACGCCTCCGGGTGCGGGAGTTTCTCGCTGCATTGAAGACCCAATTGGTGGCCTTCGGCTGTTGTCTGCTCTATGGTCGGGTCGTTGTCTCTTTGACACATTCCCCATTTCCATTCTCAATTTTATTAAGCTGGGAAATACAAAACAGAAATAATCATGATACAATCCGGAAATGTGAGCAACTTTTTCTCTTCAAGAACCCAGTTTTATGTTTCAGTTTCCAGTTTCTGGGTGGATGTTTTTAATCTCAAACGCATACTATTTCTATGGATCAATATTGGTATCCACTTCTCGTCAATATTGATAATATACATACATATATATATATATATATATATATATATATATTAAGATTTAGATTTATTAATGTAAAATCGTCTCAGAGAAAAACAAAACAAAATTGTCCCCGATTTTTGTTAATTATATATATGACCACTTTATATCAACGTTTTGTAATATGTTTTGTTGTTGTCGTAATGTCCAAAGAAAATGGCTCAACAAATAGACTCCATACGGTCAATATATATATAGAATATATAGCTCTTTTATAAACAATAAATGAAATGAGATATAGTAAGTTGTCAATGAGACAGTACTGCAGTGTATGTTTAAAGTGGTCTGGTTCTGTAGCACGCAGGCCAAGTTGAGGAAAGATATGGATAAAGATAAAACAACGTACAAAAAAGAAGAACTTGGAAGAAGATTTTATTTAAATCTCAAACTCACTGGGCATGAAGCAAGTGTGTTTGGTAATATGATTTTTTAATATTTAAAATTTACATGAATTTTTAAATATATATGCATTTGATTTAGAGGGGCATTAGCTACGAGATATAAACACAATTAAACTATGATTTTTTTGTTTGTTCAATCATTAATGAAAGTTAAATAGTGAAATAATAATTCGCTTTTAGCAGCCATTTAGTTCAATTTTGTCAAAATAAGCTAAGAAACATCGCTGATGAATTATTCACTTGCAAGTGAATAATTTGACCTCATTGAATCCGTATTCATGTGACCTTCAATTTAACCCATTAGCTAGAGATTGGTTACGCGTGTATTAGTCGTGTTCAGCCATTAAAAGGAAAAGAATGTCAACATTGAAAATGAAACAAGGATGAACCATTTCGTTGACTGATTCGATCCACAAAAAATCATTCTTATACAGGTAAAAACGATGATTAACTATTTTTTTAACCTATAACATGAAACTTCAAACAGACCTAGAAAAGTCCAACTGCACGAGATCGCTATCTATTTATATTTATGTTTATATTGGGTTATGTGACCGTCGGCAGTCTTCGGAGGTCACCTCGATGGTTAATTAGATGGCGTCTAGACTTAAATACACACGAAATGCTGATATATATTATCGAGTCCGTGCATTGTTAATTGTTTATTTCAGACTTATTGTATATACGTTTTAGTATGTTATAAATCAAATATGAGAATTTGAGTCAAATAGGTGAGCATGAGTTTGACAGCTAATGCCCCTTTGAAATTGTCTTCCTAATCAGATTAGCGGTACGGTCCACTGAATTCTTCCCTTATCAGCATTATGCAATGCACATCGGTAACACCCTGATGACTGCAGGGCTAATATGCAGAACTTTATCAATCCTGCTGCCATGTCAAAATCATACACTTAGATTCAGTCTTTAATCAAATCCGGCTTTTAGGCTTTTTTTTTAAAGAGAAGATATTTGCACAAAAAACTATAAACTAAACTAAACTAAACTAAACTAAACTAAACTAATATTTGGCAAACGGATTAAATCTGTTTATTTAGGTTCTATGGTAGTGCGTTCCTTGTAATGTCTATATATTTGGTTTTTAGCTATATCGCAATAAATCAACATGGAAGCTCCTGTTGCCTTTTCCTTCAAAATGTTATTTTGCAAACTATTTGTTATTTTTGCATGTTTGCAGTGTTTTAGATGTAAAAGTGAGGTAAAATATAAATCTATTTCTAGCAATACGAAGGGTGTCACTGGAGTATGGTACAGAATTCGACAATCGATTGTATCGACAATTTATTTTTTATAGTGTAGCGTTGTCGTTTTTTTTATGGATTCTTGTTTGTCGATGTGTTATTTTTAGGTCGCGTAAATTACGTAAAATCCATGTTCAAATGGCACAAAGAAAACAAACCACAACACAAAGTCTCAATTCAAATCACAATGTAATCTGTTAAATGTATAATATCAGTTAAACATAATAAAACAGCTTAACAATAATCCTGATTTCACTAACACAATATCACTGTCCTCTCGTTCTCTAACTATCCTCTCAACTCTTCTAACTAGCTATCTATCAATTTACTTCTTTCTGATCTCTCTCGCATCCCCTTATATATTTAATTACAGGCGGTACCCCCGACGGTTCCAAAGGTGTGGTACCGGGCGGTTCTAAAGATACCAGGCGGTACCCCGACGGTTCCAAATATGGGGTACCGTGCGGTTCTAAAGATACCAGGCAGTGAATTTAAATAAACTAGACACCGTTCAGATAAATAAAATAGCGGGCGGTGCCCTATTGAAATGTAATTTAACTCAAACGTATTAAAAGAAAGACATCTTACATAATAACAAATTAAACTGTCAAACTAAAATCGCTACAATCCCCCCAACTAGCAATTGAAATTCCTATTTCAATGTAGTAAACAAAACTAGGTTAACCACTGTACAGTTACATAATCCAAAACAAGCTCAATATAGCTCAACTCAAGTCAATTTTATAGGTTCACTGCAACCTGCATAATAAAGTTATAACAGCAGATCCTAACACTTTCAAATCACCACCACTAGCTGTGACGAACCTGGTATCCAATGTGTTGTTGAACAGTAATTTTGGCGTACCTGTTGAAGGGAGTAATTTGTTGTGTTACATGAATTTTTCTGCAGCTAATAGAAGACTACATCAAAAATCGTTTTTATTTTTTCAAAGATGCCATTCTAAAGTAAATTATCTGACTCAATGTCACTATCATGTATGGAGTACATGATGGATTCAATCATCATCACTGCCACATGTGCCAATATCATCAGGTTCTCATATAGACATGATGGACCTATCCATTCTGTAGTCGTATGAGGGTCGTATTGGGGGTACCTTCATGATGAATAACGGTAAAAAATCTTGCTAAATGACGTTAACAGTAATTTTGGTGCATGACGATAAAATGTATACTTTCTTTAAGACGATAAAAAAGTCGACTGATTTTGACGAATCAATTTAAATTTTTTCCAAAAATAACGGTAACAATAATTATTTGAGACCTCTGACGAATCACGGTAAAATTTAAACCAATTTGACACTAACAGTAGCCGAAAATGACTGTTTGACGCCTGACAGTAAAGGGCATTCCTACCCTCTCATATGAGTTGAACCCAGGATGCTTTGGTCTTCCTGTAGACCACTGCCTTGTGAACACTGAGTCCACATTAAAATCTGTGACAGATGCACCAGAATTTTCTTAAATTCATTTTTAGCTTTGATTCCATCTTGCAGGTAAACAGTATGTGTGTAAAAACACTTGCAGCTCCCAACTGATTAAAACATTTTAAAGATCGGGATTCCAGCACCCTGTATCTCTTGGGATTTATCTCTTTCCATATTAAAGGTCCCATCACCCAGGATGTTCAATCAGTGGATTTAGATTTTGTATGATCATAAAAAAATGGTTCATGTTTTGGGCATTTAATGTAAGTCTTTGAAAGTTTGATATGTTTTATATCATGGATTTTTCACTTGTCCCATCAGAAAAAAATTTGGTGATTCTACTTGTCTGACGCCTATGTCCAAGACAATCAGACATGCGGTAATGTCAAGCCCTGATCAGATTTTATCCTCTAAATTGTTTTTAAAAGAAGGATTTGTGTTTTGTAATCTTTATTTTCTGTGTAAGTGTTTATTTGAACTTTACATCATTTTCTTGTGGCTGTATCCAGAGACATATAAAGTACCCAAGATTGGCAACCAAAAGTAACCGTTATTTAGCATTGATTGATTAGTTGCACATACATGTATTGCAAGTTATTGATCCGTTGATTAGATGTTTTGTCTACATCATGTATATTAAGATTATCGAAAATATTTCACTTATTTAGGTTTTAAAATATATAGTTTAAATTCATTAATTATGTTGAGATACTCATCTTGTTATACCATTATACATGTATTATATTGTGAAATGAATATGACAAAAACAAAAACAAACATAGTATAGCAAAGAAATAACAATTTTGTTAGAAATAAACACATGGAAAAAAATAAAGAAGATGTTTGATATATATATGTTAATGAGACAGCCACCCAAATACACAAATTACGAAAAGAAATCTAGAGGTAATACTAATATCTGTACTGCACTTTGGGAATAGATGAAATTTCAAACTTTGGAGATATCTAATATCTGTAATTAGACTAATTTATCAACTTATTATTTTTATGCCCATGCGTAGCGGAAGGGGCATTAAGTGTTACCCTTGTCCGTCCGTCCCATCCATCCCGTACGTTCCCCAAAATTGGTTTCCGTTCTCTTACTTAAGTTTGCCTCAACCAAATGTTATGAAACTTATACACAATGCTTATTACCACAAAACACAGATCAAGTTCCAATTTGTGTGGCATCATTTTACCGTTCTTGAGTTATGCCCCTTTATAAATGGAAAAATTGCTAAATCTGTTGTTTCTGTTCTCTAACTTTAGTTTGACTCAACCAAATGTTATGAAACTTATACACAAGGCTTATAATCACAAAACGGTCTTAACTACGTGAATCTCGCATCTGTATGTGGAAGTTGACTCATGCATATTTACAACCGATGGGGCATCTGTGGCCCACATTCTCCATTTATTTTATATTGAAGTAATTTACAAGAGACTTTATTAGTACTTTGTATATATTTTGTTAGGAGAAAGTAGAGGAATTCTTCAAGAGTGGACACACAAATAACTGGGCAGTACTTGTAGATACTTCTAGATTCTGGTTCAATTACAGACATGTAGCTAATGTGTTGTCTATATACCGTAGTGTCAAAAAATTAGGAATTCCAGACAGGTAAGTTCATTGTATTTTATGTAGATATTTTCAAATGATGTCTATAACTTCTTTATCATACATGTCATAGTGGTAAAAAAGTTGAATTTAGGAAGTAATTTTAAACATTAATCAAAACAAATGTCTAGCGATGTTGACCATAACCTTTAGAACCAATCTTTTTGTGCCTTAGATGATTGACCCTTTTGTCACCGTCAGTATCAGTCAGTATGGCTGAGTTCACTTGAAACAGTTTTGAACAACAAAGTTGAATGTTAAATTTTGTTTATAACAACACATAAACTAGCATATATATATATGTAAATGCCTGATTTTAATAGATTTGTTGTCATTAGACCAAAAAGTTACGCAAGTACACAACCCTGGCTATATGCAAGGATGGAAAAATAATGCAAGCGTTCAAACTCTTGTCAATTTAGCAGTCCAAGTAAACTTTTCCTACAAGTTGCATTGCACATGTGACTACTAAGAATTCTTTTATCTGTATATACACTAATAGATAGATATTTATATTTTTACAGCCATATAATTTTGATGATCGCAGATGACATGGCCTGCAATCCACGAAATCCTCGTCCTGGTTAGTGTATATTTTAGCTGTTAAGAATATCATGTTGTAGATTTAAATACAAGATATTATTGAATGTTGTTACAGTACAAACTGGAAAAAGGTGTATTCTTATAACTACATCAAATGCAAATATCAAATGGCATAGTTCAGAATAAATTATATGAGCCTTTGTCAGATACTTTAAATAAAAATTTAATGAATTATGGTGGTTTCTGAAAAACTAACCACATGTTATTTTTTTAATGAAGTATTGAGTCTTATTTGGATAATTTATTAAAATGCATTTAAGAACTGCAAGATCTGCATCTTTTTATTATTTAATCTCCTTTTTAAAGATTTCTTTTACTCAATATTAACACAAGGACAGTCATGTACATGTTGGCTGCATTATCATGATTTTGAAATAGCCAAAACTAAAAGCTAGAGAGGGGACATTTACAAATTTTGATGAAAGAATGATATCAGATCTTCTAGAAGTTTTCATCCTGCTCAAAACATTTTCATGTTGGCAGATATAATAAGAATTTAGAATTTTAAACATTATGCATACTGAAAATATTAAATGTAGATTGTATGTAGAAAAAATGTCTGATCATTAGCTCAATGCACTTCTTTAAATATCCAAACCAAATACTTACAATGCACGCAAAACTGAAAAATTGCAAGGTAGTTATGCAGTCAGTCCAGATATATTAAGTCCAGATACAGACAAGAGGAATGGAAACCAGTGAAATTTCTTAAACTCAGAACAGAGAGAGACCAAGTGGGTTGACTGGGTAAGCATTTCCCCTTATGCATTCATCACTAATATGGAAATGATGCTAAATATGTTTGAGCTTTCTCTTAGTTGATGTGTTCATATTGTCATCTATTTTTCAGCTACTGTGTTTAATAATGCAAACCAACATATCAATGTATATGGAGATGACGTAGAAGTGGATTACAGAGGTTATGAGGTCAGTACTGAATGATACATAAAAAGGTTCACACAAATTGACAAAAATATTAGACAGTATATTTGTACAACAGACCACACAAACACCTCACTTCCCAGAAATGTCATAGTTAACGGGGTATTAGCTGTCAAATTCTTATATTCGACTTATAACACACTAAAACGCATATTCAAATTATAATAAGTCTAAAATCAACAATTTATGATGCATAAACACAATAATATGCATCAGCACTTCGTGTGTATTTTAGTCTAGACACCATCTAATTAACCACCAAGGTGACCTCCGAAGACTGCCGACAGTCATATAACCAGATATAAACATAAACATAGATATAAATAGATTGGGAACTCGTGCAATTGGATTTTTCATTATGTTTGATTTCATAATATAGTTTAAAAAAATATGTTAATAATCGTTTTTACCTGTATAAGAATGAGTTTTTCTAGATCGAATCAGTCAACCAAATGGTTTACCCTTGTTTCACTTCCAATGTTTACATTCTTTTCCATTTAATAACTGAACACGCCTAGTTCATGCGTAACCCATCTCTAGCTATAGAAATCAATTAAAGTTCACATGAATACCGATTCAATGAGGTTGAATTATTCATTTGCAAGTGAATAATTCATTAGCCATGTTTCTTTGCTTATTTTAACGAAACTGAACCAAACTGGTTGTTAAAAGCGAATTATTATTTCACTATTTCACTTTCAGTAATGATTGAACAAAAAAAAAATCACATTTTATTTTTTTTATATCTCGTAGTTAATGCACCTTTAAACAAAGACAAACAACAAAGAATAACACTTGATCCAGATAACTGATGTGGTAAAGTTACAAAATGTGGTGGTGATAAACCAGTTTTACTTGTCCACAACCCTCCCCCCAATTAACATTTGCAGACCATATGCCACAAAAGTAAAACATTCCACAAAAAATCTGCACAATTCAGCTAACAGCAGGATGATCAATAATTTGAACAAGGAAATAAAACTGTTACAATACACATAAGATAATATTTAGTAATTCTGGCTGGTAACAGAAATAAAAATAAGGATACTGAACTTAAAGGTTACTAAAGAATCCATATTGTTGTTGAAATTATATTTATTTGGATTGTATTTTGAAATTTATCATGACTGTTACATGTTTGGTATGTGTTTCCATGTTATCATTGAGAATTTTACTTTACTTTTGGGTATTGTTTTGTGTAGGTAACAGTAGAGAACTTTATAAGAGTGTTGACAGGACGACTGCCACAAAGTACACCTCCGTCCAAACGACTGAGATCTGATGAACGAAGTAACATCTTGGTGTATATGACAGGTGACATGCTTATTACTATAATACTGTTGAACTATACATTAGGAAATATTGGCTTCTTTTGGCTATTTTATTCAGTATTCTGAAATGTATTTTGGGAAAGAAAAAATCATATTAATATTTGAAGCAATAATTATTAAAGAAAAACCATTGTCATGATTGTGGTGCAATATTTTTCGTTCAATCACAACAGCAAATTTTGTTGTCCTACAATATGTGTTTTTTTATTGTATTTTATCTCTTTATGTTGGAAACAATTTATTATAAATCTCACAAATAAGAGATTTATTTCACAAACCATTAATTTTAGAACCCACAAATAACAGGAAGTCAACAGTCATATTGTACAAATCAAAAGTAGTCCAAACTGCATAAAGACACAAACTTACTTTCATGCACATGCCAATAAGAAGTTATAGTGTTACCAATAACCATCCTTTCTGTCCTTGTATTGATCGTCATTCTGTCCATGCTTTTTGTTATGCCTGCATACATTGATCTAAATTATAGCACATTAGTGTATAATGATGCTTTTAATACAGATGAAGTTTTCATTTTGTTCAGGATCAGGTTGACAAGACTTTTAATAAATTTGTCAATTTTGTAAATTTAGAAATAATTACGAGGTTTTTATTAATGCAAATAATGCGACTGGGTGAGTATTGCTATAATAAGAACTCCCATTCTAATATCTGATGCATATATCTGTATGCAGCTTTTTCTGAAATTACAATAACTAGTCTTGTATTTATGTCCATTCTTCAAAAATCGCAATGACAAATACATGCAATAATTTCTGAATTTACAGTATACATTTCTTGTCATTTGATGCTATAAAAAAACACTAAAACTTAGACTTTTATAAATAAAGATGTAAAAAATGATTCCATACATCTAATGGGTCACAATAAACAATCTTCTCCATCATGAAATAGAAGAGCAAAGATTTCAAAAACAATACATGTATCAGTTTCAGGGAAAAATCATTATTTTATAGGTCCTTAGATTTAGTGTTGTATTATTTAAGTCCATCAGTTTATTCTCTTCAAACAATTTTCAAAAGTTTGATCTATTTTAGGACATGGAGGAGATGGGTTTCTCAAGTTTCAAGATGCAGAAGAAGTTTCCAATGTAGAACTGGCTGATGCATTTGAACAAATGTGGCAGAAACAAAGGTTGTTTTAACTGATTTTTCTCATTGTTTATTGTTGATTATTCTGAATTTTATGAGTATTAAAAGTTGTCTCTATATATTGATATATTTTTATTACTGGGAAAAAATGTATCTATCATTTAGGTAAAGAATATTTTATGCACAGTCATGGAATAATATTGTGCAATATTATAAATGAATTAAAAAAAATCATTTGTCAATTGAGCAAGTTTTTAGAAATATGAAAATATATGAATATAAGAAACATAAGATAACTACACAAAGGAAATTAACTCCTGCTTTATTTGATTTTCTTAACTGGTTGATAGCAAGTTATTTTGTCAGATATTTGAATCTTTATTTTATTATTACTGTCGAATCTCGATGTGTCGAACTCTGCTGTGTCAAAAAACTCAGATAAGTTGAGGTATTTTGCTAGACAAGTTCGTGTCCTGTCAGAAAAAATGCAGCAATTTAATATTATTTGTCTTTTTTCAGATACCATGAGATATTCTTCATGATTGACACATGCCAAGCTGAGTCTATGTTCCAGCTTTTTTATTCTCCTAATATTTTATCTGTAGCTAGTAGCCATGTTGGTGAAGATTCTTTATCAGTAAGTCTTGTTTGATTTAATTTTTTGTGCATATCAGTGTTATTTTAAAGTTTATTTTTGCCTGTATTCTGACATTGTGAACATATCTTTTGAGTTATCTGTCTTTGCTGTAAAACATCTGTTAATCAGTAACTCCTTAAAAACTGTTTCACAGTAATCAACCAAAAAGCCCAGCAATCTTAAGAAAATGCATTTTATCGTTACAGTAGTTATGCATCTTCTTTTTTTTTCACCATCCCAATGTTTGAGGCACCCAGTATCCACTAATGAACTTGTACGTTTCCCCTATTTAAGTTTGTGACTGAAGTATTACTATTAGTTAGGACAGACAATGCATGGAAAATGGACAAAAATGCGATATTAATTATTGCGATTTCAGAAAGATCTCCATACAGATTTATTTATCAGAATGCGAGATCTTATTATTAGGAAACTCATCCAATTTCAGTATTTTCATTGATAAAAACTTCACAATAATTTCTGAATTTACAATATAACTCACTTCTATGATCGGTTTAGCATGCAGGAAAAATCCATTTAAGTGACTACCATTGAAGTTTTCAATCTTTCTTGTCTCCCTTTGTCCTGAGAGACTATTAAAGAGGTGCCGGGTTTACAACACATCCTATCTAAATTAACCCTTTCATGTCTATGATTTTGTGATGGTAAGACAGACATTCAGTTTCAAAGGTTAGATTATTGAAGAATGTTCATAGTAAGTCCAGATACAAGTGTACATTTTTGACAAGTATCAGTTTCAGACAGGATTTGGTGTCTACAGACTGGTTTCATTGTATATCTTTTCTGTGGTAATTGTTAAGGGATCATAGATTTATTCTTACGAGGAAGCTCCGAGCATGCTCGGAGGATGCTCGGAGCTTTTTAAGTAGGCTCTTCTCAGCAGTTTAAAAGGTAGATAACTGAAAAATAAAAACTATGGAAATAAATTAGAGTAAAAATAGAAGTTACCACTATTTTTGTACTACACAAACAAAAAGCAAAAATGTACCATTGAAAAGCTGTTTGAATAGAAAACCTATCGATATTTTTATAGACTTATCTTTTATGGGGGTAAAAGTGTAGAGGTACACTAGACAACACGAACATATACTGGATGATAAGTTTAATAATTGTATGATATATATCTTGATGAAAAAGAAGTTAAAGTGTATTGTTATGTCTTTCAGCACCACGTAGACTCCAGTATTGGTGTATATGTTATAGACAGATACACATACTATGCTTTAGAATTCCTAGACAAAGTAACACCAGATAGTAAAAAGACAATGGGACAGTTTGTAAGTAGTTTTTGATTTACATATATGTTTATTGTAAGCTTTACACATGTTTCAAATCAAACAACTCCTTAAAAGTTCTAAATGAAAATTAAAGATCAGCTATGCACAATCTTAATACTTCTCATTTTGAAAGAAAATGTTTGTTAAAACAGTAAAAAGAGGAATTACACCTTTTGAAGATTTGGTTTTAGCTTTTGTTTTCACTATTTTCCTTGTATTTTATGAAAATTAATAGATACAGGAATCCACCTAGCTTCTCTGCACACCAGTCTGTCTGTGTTGGATATTCAGTTCAGTGAATGATGCACATAATTTGGAGTATAAATTATTCTTCTGTAGCTTAACAAAAATTTTGAATTGAAGAAATTACATCAATTACTTTTAATCTTCAATGTAAGAAAATCACAAACTAATCAATCAATCAACCCAGTCATTGGTTCAGACTACAGTTAAACACAGATTCAAATATGGGTGAATGTGTGTCATGGAATTGCTGTTTTTTGTCTTGCCTGCAACGAAAGTCACAGAAAGTGAAACAAAGAGATTGCAATCTTGTGGCCCAGTAAACTATTTGTATTAAGCTTTATCTTTCAGAGGGTAGAAAACTTGGAGGCTTCATACCTTGTATACAGATGCCTTATGTTATGTAGTTTCCATCTGTCGTATGTCCGTTGTCCTTGACTTAATTTTCATGGTTCAGTGACTGCTTAAAACAAAAGTTTAGTTTTTTTTCATATGAATTTCTCACTCATTATGAGTACTAGGTTAACTTTATTTGTTATGTGGGTACCTTGCAAGGTCTAAATGTCCATCAGACAGCTTTCACATGACCTCAACCCCATTTCATGGATCAGTGATCAAGGTTAAAGTTACGTGACTAGGTCCATTTCTCAGATACTGTAAGCAGTAGAGCAGTAGGTCAACTATATTTGGTGTATGGAATGATTGTAAGGTGCACATGTCAGTCTGGCAAGTTTCATCTGACCTTGACCTCATTTTCAAGGTTAATTGGTCAATGTTAAGTTTTTGTGTTTTGGTCTGTTTTTCTTATACTATAATCAATAGATCAACCATATTTGGTGTATGGAATAATTTTACTGCATACATGTCTGTCTGTCAGGTGTCATTTGACCTAGTTAGGTCCTCTTTAAGATACTATAAGTAATAGGTCAACTATATTTAATGCATGGAATGATGTCAGTCTTTCAGGGTTCATCTGACCTTGACCTCATTTTCATTTCCTTGGTCAATTTTATGTTTTTATTGTTTGGTTTGTTTTTTATACGACCGCAAAAAAATTTTTGTGGTCGTATATTGGTATGACGTTGGCGTCGTCGTCGTCCGAAGACACATTGGTTTTCGCACTCTAACTTTAGTTTAAGTGAATGGATCTTTATGAAATTTTACCACAAGGTTCAATACCACAAAAGGAAGGTTGGGATTGATTTTGGGGGTTATGGTAATAACAGTAAAGGAATTAGGGGCCAAAAAGGGGCCAAAAATAAGCATTTTTGTAACTTCCACACATAACTTGTGTGTTAGTGTATGGATCTCTCTGACATTGTACCACAAGGTTCCATATCACTAAAGGAATGCTGGGATTGATTTTGGGGGTAATTGCCTCCAAATTTTAGGAATTAGGGGCCAAAAAAGGGGCAAAAAACAAGCATTTTTCTAGTTTCATGACAATAACTTGTGTGTAAGTGTATGGATCTTTCTGAAATTGTACTACAAGGTTCCATATCACAAAGGGAAAGCTGGGTCTGAGTTTGGGGGTAATTGCCCTAAACGTTTAGGAATTTGGGGCCAAAAAGGGGCCAAAAAACACATTTTTTTCTAGTTTCCAGACAATAACTTGTGTTCAAGTGTATGGATCTCTCTGAAATTGTACTGCAAGGTACCATACCACAAAGGGAAGGCTGGGATTGAGTTTGGGGGTGATGAATCATAATGGGGGCTCAAAAAATTTTTGGGGGGGGATTTATTTTTTTTTCCTTTTTTTTCTTTTTTTCCTTTTTTGTTTCTTTTAAAATTTTCCATTTTAAGTTGGTTATTTCTGATTTATATTTAAAATCAAATAATAATGATATGGTAGGAGATACACACCAAACAGGATGTGTAAATTATTATATAATAAGTATTGTGCAATAGCAAGAAATTTTCAATTGCACAGTATTGCACAATAGCAAGAAATCTTCAATTGCACAGTATTGCGCAATAGCAAGAAATCTTCAATTGCACAGTATTGCGCAATAGCAAGAAATATCCAATAGCACAATATTGCGCAATAGCAAGAAATTGTCAATTGTACAGTATTGCGCAATAGCAAGAAATATTTAATAGCACAGGATTGTGCAAAAGAAGATACTTCCTATAAATTGCTTATTTCTTGACCAATTTCAATGGGGTTTTATTCTTGATTTCATGGGGTTCTTTAATATGCTGAATCTAACCGTGTATTTAGTTTTTGGATTTTGGGCCCCGTTTTTAAATTGGTCCACATTGAGGTCCAAAGGGTCCAAAATTAAACTTTGTTTGATTTCATCAAAAATTGAATTATTGGGGTTCTTTGATATGCCGAATCTAACTGTGTATTTAGATTCTTAAATTTTGGTTCCGTTTTCAAATTGGTCTACATTAAGGTCCAAAGGGTCCAAAATTAAACTTAGTTTGATTTTAACAAAAATTGAATTCTTGGGGTTCTTTGATATGCTGAATCTAAACATGTATTTAGATTTTTGATTATGGGCCCAGTTTTCAAGTTGGTCCAAATCAGGGTCCAAAATTAAACTTTGTTTGATTTCAACAAAAATTGAATATATGGGGTTCTTTGATATGCTGAATCTAACCATGTATTTAGATTTTTGATTTTTGGGCCCCGTTATCAACTTTGTCCACATTGAGGTCAAAAGGGTCCAAAATTAAACTTTGTTTGATTTCATCAAAAATTGAATTATTGGGGTTCTTTGATATGCCGAATCTAACCGTGTATTTAGATTCTTAATTTTTGGTTCCGTTTTCAAATTGGTCTACATTAAGGTCCAAAGGGTCCAAAATTAAACTTAGTTTGATTTTAACAAAAATTGAATTCTTAGGGTTCTTTGATATGCTGAATCTAAACATGTATTTAGATTTTTGATTATGGGCCCAGTTTTCAAGTTGGTCCAAATCGGGGTCCAAAATTAAACTTTGTTTGATTTCAACAAAAATTGAATATATGGGGTTCTTTGATATGCTGAATCTAACCATGTATTTAGATTTTTGATTTTTGGGCCCCGTTATAAACTTTGTCCACATTGAGGTCAAAAGGGTCCAAAATTAAACTTTGTTTGATTTCATCAAAAATTGAATTCTTGGGGTTCTTTGATATGCTGAATCTAACCATGTATTTAGATTTTGGATATTGGACCATAATAGGTGAATGTCCAATTTAAAATTTTTAAGTTCTTAGACCACATTCAATCTGTGTTAGAAACCTATGCTGTGTCAAATATTTAATCACAATCCAAATCCAAAGCTGTATCAAGCTTGAATGTTGTGTCCATACTTCCCCCAACTGTTCAGGGTTCGACCTCTGCGGTCGTATCAAGCTGCGCCCTGCGGAGCATTTTATTGTATATTATAAGCAATAGGTCAACTATATTTGGTATATGGAATGATTTTTAAAGTGTACATGTCAGTTTGACTTGGTTTTATCTGACCTTGATATCATTTTCATGGTTTATTGATAATATTAGTATATTTGATACTTGTAGTTAATCCTGTTTTATCTTTAGAACTATCTACATAAAATCAGTCATGGTTAGTAAAGCAGGTGAGACATTTCAGCATGTGCACTCTTGTTTTTACTTGTACACACATCTCTTTTGATTCATCAGATTCATACTTAAAAGTCATAAGAATTATAGAAATGTTATGGGTTTTTTTCAGTTAAAAGTTTGTCCAAAGAACTTATGTATATCAACAGTAGCTACTAGAACAGATTTATTTGCCAGGGACCCAAATAAAGTCCTACTCACAGATTTCTTTGGTAGTGTAAGGAATGTTGAACCTTTAGCCAAGACCATCAAACTTGTAAACAAAACTGACCAATGCACGTAAGTTACTGTTAGTAAAGATTATCATTGTTGTGGGTTGAAATATTCTAAAGTAGGATAATTAATTTATTAAATACTTTCAAACTTCTGATTTATTAAAAAACAGGACTTGCTTATTAATGAAAACAGAAAAATGACATTTGAGTAGAATTTTATACAGTGTGATGGAAATTTGCCATTGACATTTTCTTATTTTTTGGAAGTTGAAATATTTAAACTTCTTTTTTAAATTACTGGAAATAAGTTTCTTACAAATGTTTTTAATCCATAGTTGACCATTTGAATGCGAAAAAAAACTAGAATAAACTTTTATGTCAACATGCTATACCTTATGATGTGTTTTCACATTCTGAATCATTACTCTTGAACTTCATATTTCCTGAATTCTTATAGTGGAGGTATAAGAGAGCAGTACAACTTGTTTTCTATGTATTTGCAGTAAAGATGGCTGTCAAGATAAACCAGAGCCAGAAGATCAAGAGCCTTTGTCATATGCTGAGCAGTTCCCAATGCCTAAGTGATCTATGTGGATGTAGGGAACTTAAAACTACTGTGATAAAATTCATGATAGCAGGCCAAGTAATCAATGACTTAATCAGAATGACTTGAGATGGCCTTGGAATAGCACACTGGTCCTGTGATGGTAGATCTTACGGCTGATGAATGCTGACATCTTCAATGATTGTGATAAATAATTCTTTTGATTTCAATTTGTAATTTTGGTGATCTGATTTTGATATTTCTTATATAAGTGTAATTCTATAGAGTTACTACATGATTTATCATTCAATTATGACCTCCATTAAAATTTGATATCTAAAATGATTAAATAGAAAAAATGTTACTTTCATCAGGTCTGAAGAGAAAATAACGTTTTCAAGATTTAATCACTTTGATATTAATTTTTGATGAAGACCATAATTGTTTAATTATAATGAACTAAATATGAGGAAATGCTAATTTTTTGCATGTATTGTGTTTATGTAGTTTTTTTATCACAAAATATTTTCTGTGTCTGCATCGGAACCTTGTGGCTGCTGCCATTATTATAAGATGACATTTGGAAATTTTCTACATGCAAAAGCATGTGGATTCAAAATGTTTTTCTTTAATTGTGCACATTCCATAACATTTTTGTTTGCCTACGCCCAGTTTCCTGTGGGAAAAAATGGATTCTTTCAAATTAGTGCACATTCCTGAACAGTTATTTTGCAGTTTCCTGCAGGAAAGAGGCATTTATTTTGGTGATTATTTTATATGGGGTTACTATAATAAATTATAAGAATAAATGTTATTTCTGCTTCCTCTTGTTTTAGTCATATTAAAAAAACTGGAAAATTGGACAAGTATACATGAAACAACTACAGCATAGCTAATCACAAAGTTGCAGGTCCTTAGTTTTGCATTTAAGACCAAAAATTCAGAAAGGTTTTGCAAAAAAACAGTTAAGATAGTCTTTTCATCCTTAGTTTTACAAATAATTCAAAGTTTTGAGAACAGTTAATTTAAAATATTACCATATCAATGATAATTCAACACAGAAGTTCTGACTACTGGGCTAGTGATATGAGCAAGTTCAAGATGACCCTAGGTCAGGAATGTTGTGACTACGGGCAATGTTTTTCATGCAAATGCCATGGTTGGGAAATAATATTTCTGAAAAGGTTCATTTTTGCATCAGCCATGGAAGGAGGAGCTATGATAAGTGCCACTATTTTACCCCTGATATACACCTTATCACTATTTGTCCGCCATTACTGGATATCACAAAGGTTCCCGTAAAATTTTGACTACATAATACAAAATATCTGACGCCACAATGGAAAAGTGATTGTTGTATGACGTCAATAGTTCAAGCGGGACAGATTTCGAGTCAACCAGGACAGATTTCCAAATAGCAATAAGGTGTATTGAAAAAGTAGTCAATGTCTTTAAAACTTCAATTCTATAAAGCTTCATTCTAAAATTGTGCACATGATATCGCTTTTACAACCCTATCAAATTATAAAAAAAGCAATAATTACATTTTTGTCGAGCCTGCAACTTCTGTTGCAGAAAGCTCAACATAGAGAAAGTGATCCTGCAGCGGTGGCTGCGTTTACTAACTTCTTAAAAGCTTTAATTTTAGAAGGTGGAAGACCTGAATGCTTCATACTTTGTATGTTATGAAGTTTCTGTCTGTCATATGTCCATTGTCCTTGACCTCATTTTCATGGTTCAGTGACTATTTTGAAAAAAAAAAAGATTTTTTTATGCCCCCGCCGTAGTGGATGGCGCATTAAGTTTTACCCTGTTCCGTCTGTATGTCCGTACGTTCCAAAGTTGATTTCCGTTCTCTAACTTTAGTTTGCCTCAACCAAATGTTATAAAACTTGTACACAATGCTTATTACCACAGAAGACAGATCAAGTTTGAATTTTGGTGGCATCACTTCAACCGTTTTAGAGTTATGCCCCTTTACAAATGGAAAAATTGCTGAATTTTTCGTTTCTGTTCTCTAACTTTAGTTTGCCTCAACCAAATGTTATGAAAGTTATACACAATGCTTATTACCACAAAATACTGATCAAGTTTGAATTTTGGTGGTGTCACTTTAACCGTTCTAGAGTTCTGCCCGTTTACAAATGGAAAAATTGCTGAATTTTTATTTTCCGTTCTCTAACTTAAGTTAGCCTCAACCAAATGATATGAAACTTTTACACAACACTTATTACAACTGCACAAAATACAGATCAAGTTTGAATTTTGATGGTGTCACTTTTACTGTTATCCAGTTATACCCTTTACAAATGGAAAAATTGCTGAATTTTTATTTTCCGTTCTCTAACTTAAGTTAGCCTCAACCAAATGATATGAAACTTATACACAATGCTTATTACTACTGCACAAAATACAGATCAAGTTTGAATTTTGATGGTGTCACTCTTACGGTTCTTCAGTTATGCCCTTTACAAATGGAAAAAATTGCTGAATTTTTCGTTTCCATTCTCTTACTTAAGTTAGCCTAAACCAAATGTTATGAAACCTATACACAATACTTATTACCACAGAACCTCGGATCAAGTACAAATTTGGGTCACTTTTACCGTTCTTCAGTTATGTCCCTTTATAACTTTATATGATATGCAAGTGGGGGCATCATCTGTGTCCCATAGACACATTTCCCTCTTATTGTAATATTAATTTCTCTCTTATTATGAGTAATAGGATAACTACATTTAGTATGTGCTTATTTTGCAAGGTCCTCATGCTTGTCAGACAGTTTTCATCTGGCCTCGACCTCATTTCATGGATCAATGATCAAGGTTAAGTTTTCGTGGTCAAGTCCATATATCAGATACTATAAGCAATATGTCTACTATATTTGGTGTATGGAATGAATGTAAGGTGTACATTTACAACTGGCAGGTGTCATCTGACTTTGACCTCATTTTCATGGATCAGTGGTTAAAGTTAAGTTTTTGTGTTTTGGTAATTTTTTCTAATACAATATGCAATAGGTAAACTATATTTGGTGTATGGAAATATTTTAGGATGTACATGTCAGTCTAGCAGGTTTTATTTGACCTTGACCTCATTTTCACTGTTCATTGCTTAGTGTTAAGTTTTGGTGTTTTGGTTTGTTTTTCTTGAAACTATAAGCAATAGGTCAACTATATTTGGTGTATGGAATGATTGTTAGGTGTATATGTCTGTCTGGCAGGTATCATCTTACCTTAGCCTCATTTACCTGGTTCATTGGTCAATGTTAAGTTTTCATGGTTAAGTTTGTTTCTTACATACTATAAGCAATAGGTCAACTGTATTTAATGAATAGATTGATTGGAAGGTGTACATGTCTGTCTGGCATGGTTCATTTGACCTTGATCTCATGTTCATGGTTCATTGGTCAATGTTAAGTTTTCCTGCTTTAGTTTGTTTCTTAGAAACTATAAGCAATAGGTCAACTATATTCGGCGTATGGAATGATTGTAAGGCGTACTTGTATTTCTGATTTGGTTTATCCGGTCTTGACCTCATTTTCTTGGATCGTGTTAAATTTATGTGATACTTGTAGTAAAGCTTTATATTTAGAACTGTCAACATAAAATCAATGGTCAGTAAAGCAGGCAACATTTCAGTGTGTGCACTCTTCTTATGCTACAACCATGAAATTGAGTTATCTCAAAGTTTTTGTTTGTTTTTCTATGCATTCTTTAAACATCATTGGATAGCACCAGTCCTGCAATCATAGCTGTTGTATTTTATAGGGAAATAAAACTTTGTTGTTAAACCTGTTTTTGAGATATTATAAACAGTGTAGCTATATTTGATTATAGGGATAATTGTAAGGTGTTTATGTCATTTCCGTGTATCCACACTTGTTATTAAAGTAAGGACGAGAAACGAAAGGAGAAGGCTGTGAATAGTTTCTTGTACACCCTTTAACAATGAGTGAAACCTGTTCTCTATTGTTACCTTTAAAAGGTTCATATAATAAAATATGAAACTATGAAAAGCAGCCTAATGTATACTAAAACCATTGACAAAAATACTTATATGGAAGATAGCAACAATTGACAACCGCAGTTGATTAGAAGATCCTGGCTTGGGACTGGCATATGAAGAATGTGTTATGATAAAACATGTGTGTGAGTACTTGGGGCAGTAATGTAATAGCACAAGACAAGAACAAACAGTACATTAAGTACACCTACAATGGATTCAGTGGACAGACATGAAAAGTGTGACCTTATGCAATGCAAAAATAAAAGTATCGACAGAAAAAATGTCATACATTTAACTGGATAGCAATACAGATTAGTAATGGATAAAACTATCAAATACCGATACAAACAATATAGTTTAAAGCTCTTCGATGATCAATGATAAACTTTTACAATAAGTTATTCAAACATGTCAAACGATCAGTTAGTTTACATGGATCGGATCTCCACTGTCTTGCATATTTGTGATTTATCTTAAAGGACGCTATTATGGAAAGCCACAGCTGCCTTATGACTAACGATAATCATATCATTAAGGGTTGACATATACCATGAAGCAAATTTTCTATACTATTACGACATTTGATTATACAGCTCTGTCAATTTGCTATATCACTAAGATACATTTATATACAAGGCGTTTTGATATAACATGGAGTTACCTTTTCATACTATTCTTGTCATTTTACTTTGTCATGAAGATATTCTTTTATACTATAAAGACATCTTGATATAACAAGGAGCTACCTTTTCAAACTGATTTGTCATTTTACTATACTAATATGTGATATTGCTATATCATAAAGATACATAATATACTATAAAACGTTGAGCAACTTTTCCATACTATAACCAATATAGTGAAACGATAAACAGCCAATGTGATCAGCGAACCAAGATCTTTAAATATGTCAAATTGCCAAAATCGTTAAGAACTCCTTATATGTCTTATATAGGATTAATTGCCTTTAAATGACGACTTTTACCCATTTCGTTGTTTATGACAATTTTTATGATTTTTTTTTAGAAATAGACATTATGAGCAGGAAAATTGCCCGGATCAGCAAGACATGATATAACAGATTAGAATCTCCTTATAGGGCTAAGGGGTAAATATAACTCACTCTCAAAGTGGGGGATGCATTGCATTTTCCTCGTCCAAATTCGTCCAACAAATATTTCAGTCAATTCTCAACAGAATGACTTTATATATGATCAGCAACTTGACAGTATGTGAGCACTTTTCGGATCTGTTGGACACCAACCTTTTGCTTGTCGATACTTTTCATGGAATTTTTCAATAAGTTGAATGAGCTTAACAATTTTCCTCACGCTTTTCTTAAATTCTACTGAATTAAATTTGGTCAGCAGCCAGACAGTGACGAGTTGTAACGTGTGTGTACCCTTTGGATCTGTTGGCCTGACACCTACTGCCTGTTTTCCAATACTTTGAATTACGAGTTGGTGTATGCTTATCACGACAACACATGCATTCTTGATAACCTTACCATGCTTGAATGTATCTGGATCAAAGCTGTTATTTTTCAAATGTGTTCATGCAAGAAGCTTTGTCGTTATGAGGCGTACGGTCATAAAACTCATCTTTGTGTACTCGAATTCCTTTTCTTAAACTGACCAATAAGTTCAAATTTCCACTGCAAGTAAGTCATGATAAATGTGTAATTATTACCGTACAGTATCTATATTATTGATCATCTGGTAGCAATTAAGGTGGTACCTAACACTACAGGGAGATAACTCTGTAAAAATCAGCTAAACGTTTTAATTACGTTGTATTGTTAAGGAAATATTAAGCTTCTCAATGATCAAAATTAGTGTTTGTCAAACTGCTATATAACCAAAGAAAATTTTCTGATAAAGTGGTTGGTTCAAATTTTTTGAAATTTTTATATTTTTGTCAAAGGGTCAAAGTAAACATTTTGTCAAAATTTTATGAAAATTAAACGAGCCAAACTAATATTAGTCAAGGTGTTGGGTACCACCTTAAAACATCAGATCTATGTTTAAATTACTTTTCTTATTGAAGTGAATCTTTTACATACTCCTGTTCCTGCATATAGTTATGTGTTTGATATGAAACAGTGATCAATACTATTATATTTAGATAATTACATCCTTTCATCTGTCTTATATCATGCTTCTTCTGACAACAATCTTTCAAAGGCCGAACATTTTTACATGTTGGTCAGAATAGCATAAACTGCAGATTTAAAGGATAGAAAAGAAAAAAACAAAATCTTATGTAATTTACTGACAATTTAGGGGCGGATCCAGTCATTTTTAAAGGGGGTGTCCAACCATATGTCCCAATTCAAAAGCAGTGATCCTTTAAAAGGGGTTCCAACCCCCGGAACCCCCCCCCCCCCCCCCCCCCCCCCCCCCGCCCCCCGGACTGCAATTGCAACCAGATAATCACTTGATTAAGTGAAAACACGAAGTGCAACGCAAAAAATCAGTGAGTCACACAATGCTAAAGAAAACAAATTGTTCTTGGAATAAAGTAAAACTAAATAATCGGCAATATCGAAATACACAAAAAACGCATATTGCCAAGATGTTAGTCCACAAGCCAAGATTTCACTGTAACCTCAGAGCTTTGTCAGTTTGTTTTTGTTTTTTTTTCAACACAAACAATCAAAGAGTTAAGAAAAAGCATATATTTTGTATAAAAGAAGATTAGGTACAGTTAAAAAAAGATGAAACGACTATAGTATATAAAATTAGTAAGTTATAATCAATTACATTTAAAAGAGTCAAAAGGTTATATAAAATAAATCAGTTGTTGGTCTCCAATATATATTGTCTTTAGCATGTTGAATATAGTATGTATACATGTACGTAAATATGCATGCTAATATATACAAACATCAAAATATATGTTTTGTACATAACAAATGAGTATTTTGAATAAATACCAGTGGATATTGATTGTTGATTATAAAACGGTTAAACGCCAGTTTTGTCCATAGCAATCATTTTAGGAGGAGCAGCAGGCGTTACGTTAGTCACGTGTTGACCATGTGAATCACTACCGGGTATATTTGCTTGAAACGAAGATGTTTGCTGTGCTGATATGGTATTCTGTTGTTCCTTTGATCGATGAATATTCCAGATTTGAATGACAATATCTTTCACCAAGATATCAGATGATATATCGCCGATCATTTTTAAAACCATGACACCATCTTGTCCTATCGTAGTACCACTGAAGGAACTGACTTCAGATGACGTGACAGAAATGTTTGACATACATAGGTACTTCTTGATGTATCTGAAATAATAATAATAAATATGTTTAGACGTGATTTCCTAATGCTTGAAGAGTAAGACTTTGGTTGGCTTACTTGATTTGTTTGTATAAATGTCTGCTCAAGCATTGTTATTAAGATTGACATCTGCAAACAATATAAATAGGCTCATTCTACAAGCATTAGTAAATTAGTTCTAATGCATGTAACACTTTAAAATACTATTGTTCTGAGTTTGGTCAAGTCGCAATCTGATTACAATTTAGATCTAGCACAACTCGCGTGCTTGTATTAGAGGAGAGCGAAATCAGATATCTATATATTAATATTTAGATTGTGATAAATGTACCAGAGTTCCATGTTACGAAATTCTGAAACTGTTCCAACCACAATGTGAAGCAGGTTAAACTCAACACCAAAAGGTTTAGGAATAAAGGTGTATCTGAAGATAACAAGAATCGTTGATATATTTATCTATTAGCGTAAACATTAATTTTCAACGGTAGCACGTGCAGCTGTTCAAAGTATGTACGATTTAATAACAACTAACATACACAGCAGACCAAAGTGCAGACGTATACTTGATACAAATCTAATAAAAATGTTTCCTTAAAAATGTTAAATACAGGTACATAACTGATGTATTGATTTTGTGTTGCTTGTTTTTGGAAGAAGCAAATATTTTATTTATATTCAGGACTATCACAAATTAACCATTAAGTAGTTCTGCAATGTTTGTCGTTCGAGATGAAGGACAGGAAGCTTAGAATGTCACTGGAAAATATGGGTCTGCTGGATGTCGACAAAAAATTTGAGAATATTTGAGATGGTACTGAATATTCGAATTCATTAATCCTCATCACTCCTTTAGCTTAAGTAGATATACCAAAGCATAAGTTTTCCATAGGAAATTAAAAACAAAAACAAAAACAAAAACAAAAACAAAAACAAAAACAAAAACAAACTAACACAATGGCACTTTGCACGAAAGAATTTTTAAAAGTTTATGTGTTTAAAATAAATTGCACGAACAATGTGACCAGCATTTTAGTATATAACACGGTTTGTTTTAACTATTGGAAACATTTGTCTGAAATAGTTCAAAAATTACATTTAATGTGGAAATGTGACATTTCTAAACTTCGTTGCTTTAATAAACCCCTTAGGGCAAAACTTAACCTTGACAGAAAGGCGACGGACGGACGAACGAAACATTTTACCCACTACACGTTTCATTGGAAAAAAAATAATAATAGCGCGGCAGTAATACCATACCTTTGTCTCGCCATTGGTAATAATGACTTTACAAGGAACAAGATCCCACTGGTACCGGCTGCAACACAAACTACCAGAATCCAGATCCAAACAAAGAAACAGATTTGTTCGTTAAATTCGTTGACCGGTACTAAACACTGAAAAGCGTACTTTCGCACATTCGACAGTGTAATAAACTTCAAGTCACACAATACCTCTCGTGGAAAAACAGGCGAATACGCTATTTTTGAATAATTGGTGTTGGTTATACTTTCAAAGACATACTGGCCGTAAGACGTGACATTTTGGGGTGATAAATATCCCTCTAGAATGATCAACTGTGTCGCAGCATTGACAAAAAACAACAATTTCACGAAGGCTAGTAGTACTGTTAAAATACCAAAAGGCAGGACCGTAAGAAAACGTTCACTAAACTCTTGATGAAGATATGAACCTATCTCTATTGCAAAAGACTTTCGGTCGTCTGCAGAATTCTGCCTGTAGTCTTGTATCATTTTTGAAAGCTTTTGGCATCCAAACCCAAAACTTGACTCACAAATCCTTAAAATAATGTCGGGTAACAAAAACAAAAGTGCCTGCAGGGCTAAAATTAAGGGAAGCCACTGGTACAGAGTTCGTGTGCTGTCTTCGCTTAAACTCTCCTTGTCGGGCATTACTATTTTATCCACTGAATCTGAGAAATATCCTAATGACTCAGACAGTATAATTTGTCTGGATAACCAACATGATTCCTCAGCAAAGGCGGTCATGTGTTGTGTAAAGTGGGTTGGTACTTGGCAAATAAAGTTTGGTCCTCCGTAATGGCGCCAAGCTGTCAGAAGTGCCAATATCAACAGAAGTAGAAACGTCCAAGTACTGCTAAATCTGTCAGCCCAGCTTCCGTAGTTAACCGTTGGTTTGTAAAAGTTGAAAATCATTTTACCAAAATAACTGTTCAAATCCTGAAAATGAAAACATTGTTTTAACTTTATGTTACTCGTGTAATCATCAAAAGTTTCCTACGCAGGTATTGAAAATGTTTTACTCATAGACATGTTAAAACAAACCAAACCCATTGTTTTATGTTAAGAATAGTGTGCTTTATTAGTTTATGTATTAAAAGTTTTTGATCTAATATAAATTTAAGACCTATTGTTAATTTTTATTGTCCAATGTTTTTTTTTCACCTGGCCCAACAGGTGTAAACAGAAAAGAGAATCATGGCAAAAATATCATGAAAATAAAAAAATGAGCAAAAATATAAAGAATAGAGATTAATGGGGTGCTAAAGTATAGAGAATAACTGTGGAAAATAAAAGAATTAGGTAATATAATACTGATTACAGAAACGAAGGATGCAAAGAATAAAGAAATTATTTTTATAAGAATCTTACATAATAAGCGTTATTTATAAAGATAAAGAAAAATGTTCTTACAATTTAAAGGACCCCCCCCTCCCCCTCCAATGCAGACCCTCATATATAAGCATTGGTCTATTTCTTCAATGAGGCTAATAAGGGAAATGGAATGATTTTCACTAAGTTTTTATATTTTGAACTCCTCGACCTGGTGAAATCCTATGGTCATGTGAAATTACCCATACGTTAATAATGTCGCCCACAGACAAAATTCAAAATTTTGGAATACCATAGTAATTGGAACAATAGAACACAAAATGCTAATATTTATTTACAAAGTTGTATCTAAATAACAACCTACTTCCATCACACTATTGTGTGTTTTCATCATTTACACGAAAAGGAACTTCCGTTTCTACATTTCTATCTCACAAAAAGAGTTAAATTAGATTCGGTCGACGTCCAAGGCCTACCGTACCGCAGAACGCAAAAAACCTAACGTACGGTTGATTTAATCTTATGCCTCGTTCACACGTACATTTAATTCGAATTGAATTCGAATCGAATGCGAATCGAATTCACTAATCGCGTTCACACACTTTTCTTTTTTAATTCGAATTGATTCGAATTGGCTTAATCGCATTATCCAATTCGCATTAGAAATGAGTTTTTGTTAATACGAATTAAAAGTTAACGTCGTTAGGACAATATTAGCGAATTTGACGCGCATTGCAATCGTTTGTTTACTGTGTTATTGTTACACACTTGATAATCATATTACTTATTATAACTGCAATTATTGCTTACTTTCAGCCCTTGCGTGACTGCCGTGGATGATAAGTCAAATATTTAAAAAGTTATTTTAATTTTCAATTAAATTAACCGAAATGGTCTGGAAATGATATAGTTTTGCCATGTTGGGCTTTTGACATTGAATTTCTAAGAAATAAATGTGTCGGGAAGACATATAAATTACGTTCGCATGAAAACTCTCAACTTTTGGATTCTCATCCCAAAGCCCCGTTAACTTTTTGTTCTATACCACTTACGTGAAAATGAAAGAAAGAATCCCTATGTCAATTCTGGTTGAATTGGGTTTTTTTTAAAAGAAAACATTGCCATGCTTAATAGGTTACTACATTACGTTAGTTGGTATAAAAACAAACTTTCAAAACATTTGACTTGAAAGAAGAATTTGAACGAAACATACCTTTCACACAGTTTCCTCGTATTTCAGTGAATACACGTCAGATGATGTACACTATTTAGCAGATTATCTATTAATAGAGAGCACTTTGAATTTACTGTGAAGTATCAAAGAACGATTGTCAGATTTCAACATTGCTGGCACATTGCCATACTAAAGCCACAATATGTTATGAATGAAAAGCCTTTACATATAATTATTGTTTAATAACTTTTGTCAAATCTTTATAGCACACCCCCCCCCCCCCCCCCCCCTTTCCGGCCAGCCAAGATATTTGATATCTGTACACAGTTTAAAGTATGGTTTACTGATCTGTTGTATATTCAACGTCCAGTTGCAAATGTTTCTAGCTGCATATTCAATGCGGATTATCTGTTTTCATGGGTATTTGTCTTCTTTCGTCAAGCATTATGGTGGGATTATGTTTATTCCGAGGTTCGACTTTGAATGGATACATTTTATCCTTTGTTAGTGTAACAGTTACTGTATTTTTATTGACCCCCCTTTTTCTTCTTTCTTTTTTCGTAATGAATAAGTGACTTTGCATTATTTTTGATCATGAATTTTTTTTATTATAAAACAAACACCATCATGTTTTTTATTATTGGTGTCCTTGATTTTTATCATGGCTCTGAAGTGAAAACCCATTCAAATACGAAAAACGTAAATGTCAACATGGTCACCGAACGACATAATAAACCACAAAATAAATATCGAATATTTTCCAGTCAATTAAGCACCATTATTTAAACTAATCTAATGGTAATTACGAAATATCTCTAAATTATCGAATCAATTCTCTTTCAACGTTAATAGATGATCTTCTTTTAATCTGTAAATGGCTTATTTCAGCAGGAATAAAGGAAAGAATTTACAGCTTCATTGGTTAAATGTTACATTAGCGTATTGGCTTGATACTGAAATATTGTTGTGACGCCATTCTATAAATTGTTTTCTTCTAACAAAAGCCTGTCGTCTGTTTGAATTCCAAGCGGTCAACATGATTGATTGGTAAGGCTGCGAGAGATGTCCTCGCTGGTGAATTGGTTCCTACCTTTTTTTTTAGAGATAAGTGGTCCTGACCGATGATGGTGATCGTTGACTATATGTAAACCAAAATGAAAATGACTATTTCAGACGTTTTCTTGAATAGCAGATTCAAATACATAGTTCTTATGGGATCAAAGACAAGCAACTGAAGAATGGTCCTGATCAGTATGCAAAACACATACGTGATCATTTTTATAACATCTGGAACTTAAATAAACATAAATGCTCTTGGAGTCACCTTTCTGTATACCCAAATGCGGTACGACATAATAATTCTACACGAAAAACTGTGGCAATGTCTGAAAATTGTGCATTTTTACGGTTAAGACATGCCTTGATTCTGTGCGGAGTCCGGATACGATGTTTGTGATTTAAGCGACATTTAAAACGACATTAATCTTTTTATGAATTTACTTTTATCTGTGTCTCATGTTTCGAGACGTCTTCTAGGCATTAGAGCTATGCTGCGAAAATCGGCCTACAAATCCTTTAGGCGAACCAATGGTGTTCCTTTCGGAGTGCAACGATTCGTTTGATTGGTCTATATATTGCTATTCCAAATGTTTTTACGAGTTTAGATGATCCAACTACTGTTGCTTCCAACTTCTCCCTTAATTGATATAAATAACCGATCAAGACTCCTTTTCACACATTGCTGTTAAACACTGACTCGACAAAGATGGTAACAATTCCAGGTCACCGTAGGGCATTCACCATTAAACAACACAGATACCGTATAGATACTATATGAATAAACTATAAAAAGGCTCTGGTATTACAAAATACAAAAATGGGACACAATTCAAGGGAAGACCATCGACCTGAATTATCCACAACAATGAATAAAAAAAATATGATAGAAACTAAACAACAAGAGATGTGGTAGGATTCGACATGTTTTTGAGCACTCAGCACCCTCCACCCTCGTCCTCCCCTTAACCTAATCTTTCAAAATGCTTGTAAATAATCATATCATCCGTTTTTTTTTTTTCATTAACATATATAAGCTCTGTGAGGCGTTGTGCAGTAGTGTCTAGGAGTAAACAAAAAGCTATGAACTTCGATACATCTAAGAATTAACTGTAAATATGTGTTTTACTTATGAAATCTAAGACCTACACCTATATAATTATAGATGATGGTTTTTGTTATTGAACAGTCACATGAATTCATCCTGGTTATGTTAAGATGTAAGAGATACAATAATTGTGTAAAATCAAAACCAAAATAGACCTTTTAATAGCAGAATTGACAAAAGAAATCAATGTGTAACGTTCTCCAGGTTCATGATGTACTTTTATTTAAAGTCAAATTTCATATATAATCGTAGTAATCAGGTAATAAATATACTTATTTTCTGAAAAATATTTTAGTCATATTATGTTTATGATATTATTTAAAACATCTATTTAAGTATTAAATTTTTGATTTATCAAATTAATGATGAAATCATATATAATTATTTTTTCGAAATGTTCTGGAATAGCGATTGTTTCCTTTGATTAAGGAAATAATAATGTTTAACCTGTTTTGTAATTATATCTTTATTATAAACCTCGTTATATTTATCAATAATCCGTGTGAGATTAATAGGTTTTATGCACGAGTGACCTTTTATTTTTTTCATGAATATAGCAGGACATAAATTGGTGTTTTTAACAGTGGTCTACCATATATATAATAGCATACGATCTCAAAGTTTTGGTAATAATGTTATCCTTTTTTTGTATTATAAAGAATGGAGAGACCGATTTTTTTTATCAAGAGCGGCCAATCATCCTTTGCGCAATTCAAACCGATTTAGCTCCTTAAATATATGAATAAAGCTTAATCTGGTGCATTATGTTATAAACATTTAATAATACATCTATATAGTGTTGCGCTTTGCGTGACAATTTATAAAGTATCGACGAAACATTTCATATTTATAGCTAGATTTATGCACAATGTTATTGTAATTTTAACGTTATCCGGTTTCGTTAAAATGAAACTTGATCTTATACATCGTTAGAACTGTATGCATACATAATTTTTAAAATTGAGAAAAAAAGAACTATCCTCATACATATAAATGTTTTTATTTTTATTATCTAGTGACATCGATTTACTATATCACAATCATGGGACGTCGCTGTCATGTTTCCTACTTTTAAGTCGACTTTATAAACTTCAAGTAAAAGACAGAGATATGATTCAGAAGCAAACCCTCTTGTCTAGATTTCTTAATTTCATAATCACTGTTCTACCATACATAACCTTCCGGAGCCCCTGAGACCACCCTCTTTTTTGTGAGGTTCCTGATGTTCAGTTATAAGTATTTTACATAGTATTTTGTAGACTGTTGTTTGTCTTCTCGTCGTTTTTTGTTTTTTTTTAGTTAAGTGCCATGATATTGTCTATGTTTCCTTGATTGTTCCTTTGGTATCTTCTGCAGCATGCTTCTTGACACTGGTTAAGTACTTAGTCAAAAATCTTGAATTGGTTTAAATTCTGCCTCATTTAAGTCTTCATCTTCCAGTGGCAGTCAGACTTCCCCGGCCTTCCTCCTATAGTCGACCGACTTTGTAGAGCCTTCAAGTTGTATTATAATTGTTAGTTTGTTATCGTCCTTGATATGCATAAACTATTTACTGGACATTAAGCAAGCAACAACCAATCGATCAATACCGGTATTAATATGTATGATTTTAAGTGGATTTATAAACAGATCTTTCAATAGTTTACCTATCATATTGTTTTACTCCGTGTTCTATACCGACCTTCAACTCAGCATGAACTTTTTAATAAACACTAAACGGGTAAAATTTCTACTATACGATAAATGGAAATCAAACTTTGTCTATCATTTAATCGTAGTAAATCGTCAACCCTTAAAATATTTGTGAATATTAATGTAAATATAAGTTAGAAAGAGGAATTTCAACGGTAGACAAAGGCCTTAATCAAGAACGGCTGCAATAGGATGTTCATATACTGCACTTCTTATTTGAGTTTCCTTGTCTCCATAATGTGAAATGACTACTCATTTTTTTTTCAGCAAAATTGTAAAAACTTTTCTAATTTGTCCTCTGATAATAGATTAATTTGGTTATTGAGTAATGATGATAAAAATATAATATTAGAATTAAATAGATGTTTAAAACTTCAAAAGAGAGGAAATATTAACAAATTAGCCTAGTGCATAACTAATTCACTCATTCATACAATTAGCCAACGCTACTTGAGAGTAGGAGTTGTCTCCACTTCTCCAGATAGAGTTGCCAAAAACTAGACAATTAATTATATTGTACTGTATTTGAATTTTTTTTCTCCCCCCCCCCCTCCCCCTGCTTCATTCTGTTCAATACATAGATTTTTATAAAATCAATTTCGAACTTAACATGTTCATCTGGCAGTTTCATCTGACTTTGACTTCATTGTCATGGTATATTGGTCAATGTTTAATTTTCGAGGTTAAGTCTTTTTCTCAAATACTGTATGCAATAGGCAACTATGTTTGGTATTTGGAATAATTGTTAAAAATCATCAAAGATAACAGGCTTATAACGTGGTAAGCGAGACGCGCGTTTTGTACACATAAGAATCCGCTCTGGCGCTCGAAAAAAACATAGGTCAAATCAAATACAAAGTTGAAGAGCATAAAAAACCAAAATTCCGAAAAGATGTTCCAAATACGGCTACGACAATCTATGCCTGTACATGTCCGTCTTGCAGGGTTTATTTGTCCTTGGCCTCATTTTCATGGTTTATTGGTCAATACTAAGTTGTTCGTGGTTAGGTCTATTTCTTAGATATTATTAGCAATTTGTCAAATATATATTTGATGTATGGAATGATTGTAAAGTGTTATTAGCCATGTGTTACGCACATCCCTTTTACATCAGCTGCTGACCATTCAACCAGAAATTCATAGCAGCAAACATTTTTATGTCAGCTGCTGACCATTAAGCAATAAATTCCGGACACCCTTTTACCATCTAACCAGATGCTTATTGTTATCATTTGATTTTATACCTACCGACCAGGGACGGATCCAGAAACTT